ATATCAAGCGAACGGACAGGTGAAGGGGCGGCAGAAATGCTCCAGTGGAGCATGTTGTCACCATACAAGCTGAAGTGCTCGAAGACCATCCCGATCGACTAATATCAGAGGGTGCTTGCTGCGTTCTACAAGGATCTATCGCACGGTTAGAGCTGATAGATGATAGAGGGCATATGAGGTGCGAGTCGTCAATCAGGTGGTGAGAACTAAACTAGTCGATTGAGCAAAGGTGTAAGGTCTGGTCTTAGGAGCTTGAGGGGGCTCCGAGCTAACTATATAGTGAAGGATCAAAACGACGTTAGTCTTAATAAGGAAATGCGCTAGTACTAAAAGAGCGACTACAGCTGCGCTGACTCATATCGAAGTGAAGCCCTACGTCATGTGACGTAGATTCACCTGCTCTAATTGTCACGTGCGACAGGATCTACTAGAGAGGCCTGAAACGAGACAGATCCTGAATCTTCTTCTAAAGATCTCGTAGCTGGATATCAAGACAGACATCAACCCAGCCATGCACAAGAGATTCCACAAGCATTCGATGCAAGATTGGACCAGCCATCAGCAGATCGGCAACAACATGCATTTGCTCGATACAGTAACCTGGAAACTTAAATAAAGATAGCCAATCCTTTGATGATACTGCTTCAGACTATACCTAGCAATCTAATGCGAATTTGTTCGTGAGGGAGAAATACCTTCATGGATTTGCCGGCCTTCCATTTAATACTTTGACCCTAACAATTTCGATACAGCAGCTACCAACAAAGTTTGCTCTTTTCTTAAAGGGTTCGAATTCACTGATGTTGCTACACGGATTCATGACTTGTTGCCTAAGGCTACCACACTAAATCCTTGTAGAAAGAGCTGGATAGAAGTTGTAAGAGCAATCCACGAAATCACTCTGTTTGGATGTGGCTTTGGCAACCTCTTCCAAACCTCCGAAATAAGTAACAAACTCTGCTACCACTAGGCCAAGATTCTTGCAGGCCACGACTACTTGGCTCTCTGCATCTTAGACCTCATCTAAATATCCACACAGTGAGGCAATCCCGAAGCTAAGCCTGTGTAGCTTGTAGGAAACATGGTGCTGGCATAAACTGGATCAGCTATCTGAGCTTTGCAAGTGTAGAAAGCGTTATTTGAAGAAAAGCCCCTTTCTGTGGAAAGACTAATGTGATATGGCGCAAGTTCTTCTTCCCTCCACCTCTCGATTTCCAACACTTAGCTCGCCCGGAGCGTTGGAGTCTATCCCGAAGGAAAAAGACTCTCCTGGGCGGTGAAATGAATTTCAGGCCAATGCCCGAATTTCGGAGAAGATTTAAAGACGCCTTACCCTGACACAATCCATCCAGAGAGATATTTTTAAGACACTGCTTTGAAGTATTTTAATGCTATCTTCTTAGGCAGTATATAAAGTATCTTTTCAAAGGATTATCGCAGAGGGTGGTAGATTGTCTCTACATGCAATCGACATGGGACTCAGCAAATACCTGTATAGGAACTAAACAGTTCACATTGATCCTAGAGAGACGATCGGCTACTTTCTTGGGAACTGGATGCGAATTTGTGCGCTAAGTCACTACCCTGTTATGTTCTAAATCAAGCGGAAGATCCAGCAATGTGTGTTACCCATCGGAAGTCGAGTGCATTGCCTGACTAGAAAGGAGGAAGTAGCCTTACATCCAGACATCTTACTTCCTAAATCGAGCTGTAATGGTGGAACTCACGCAATTAGAGTCCAAATGCGGACAAGCTTTGTTTAGCAAGACCATACCATCAAGCATCTTGTTAAGGGAAAGGAATCCATATTAAAGTATAATATGCTAGGGGTATCTAAACTACGTGATGTACTGTGGGCATAACTGAGGACAACCCGAAAACGCCCTGCCGCTCTCACTGTTCCTTTAGGATCCAACTCCTCAACCTAAAAATGGTTTCCTGTGTCGTAATGGTGACATAATCCAAGCCCTCTCCCGGAAACCCACCAAAATATCCAAGAAAAATAACGCCGAGCATATCCAATCCTTTACCGAAGTCAAAAGATCCAGGTACCAACCCCAGGCTACTTACTCCTGGCTGGCTTAGCGTAGACAGTTGGCATATCCCCATTTTTGCTCCGAGGCGGAGGCAAAGCTTTGTCACTTCCATCGCCCATCAGGGTTTTATAACCCTCATGCTCAATCCTCCTCGCCTCACCCCTCACATCCCTCAACCTGTTCAAACTATTCCCAATAACCTCTAAATAGTAACTCATCGGAGTTTCCTTCGTCATCCCCACCAGCTCGGGCGCCGCAACTCCTTCCCGAAGATTCTCCAAACCCGCCTGGATTTCCTGCAGCTTAAGTAATGTCGCTGAGACATGCATCCATGCGACTTTCCTGTACTTGGTGACTTCTCGAAGCACGGCGAGCTGCTCATTGAAATACCGTTTCTGCGGCGCATTTCCGCCCAGCTTGCTCCAGAGTTGGGAGAGGAGTTGTTCTTTGTCCTTAGAGATTTCCATACCGTCGCGGACGGCGAGGTCGGCGATGAGATCGAGCCGATCCTCGAGGTTTTGCAGGAGGTAGAGAAGCCCCTCGGCTGTCAGAATGAGGGTACCAATATCGTCTTTGATGGTAGATACGTGGTTGACGTATTGGTCGAAGACCAATTGCTCAATTGTCGCTGGAGGAGCCATGAACACGCCCAAGGGGTTTATATTTGTTAAGAGGCGAGAAAAGGATCCGCTGCTTGCTTCTTTTTCCATGAGACCCGAGAGTATGGTCATGGTCCAGCGGTTCGTACTGATGACTTTGTCCATGGTGTAGCCGATTTTGGAGTTATATTTTGTGAGATCTCGAGAGGCTTCTCGGGCGGTGTCGACAAAGAATTGGAATTCTACTTCTAGTTCGGCTCTGGAAGGAAGCTTGGAGTGTTTAACTTGGGTCTTAAGATCTCGGATTGAGGCTTCGCTGCGTTTCATGGCTTGCGGGAGAGAAAAGCTGTTGATGGAGGCCTCCAGGACGTCTTCAAAGGTTGATTGGATGTTCATGAGATCGTCGAAGGCGGGGTTGCGATCCATGTGTTTGGGGGAAGCGCAGAATGGAAGGACGAAAGAAGACCCGGGGATTTTGCAGAGAGAAGAGAGAGTAGCATGAACGGTGGCTGAGACTATCCCTGAGGTTTGGCTAAGTATGATGAAGAGGCACAAGACGACAAACCCCATCGCAACGAGAGGTTTTCCCATCTCGAAGGCCATTGCGAAAACTGAGACGATGTACTGTAAAACAGGGAGGACCACGTGATCACGGATGAAGCTAAGATATAGCCAAGGGTCTTGATAGTTGTGATTTTGGGGCGGGGGAGAGTGAGGTACTTGAGCCGAAGGGTTTCGGCTACCCCGGTTTGGCGTAGAGTTGACGCTTCCGTTTTGGTTCCCGGAGAACCGTCGAGAGGGGTGCCGCACGCGCATTTGGGATTGACGTAAAGGAGATCCGTTAAAGCGGTTATCTCCGTATTCGGACATGGACGGCATTATAAATGATGGCTCCAGAGATTCTGATGCTGGCGTTGTTCTGGCCTGTGACTTAAGATTAGACCTGGTGGATTGTGAATGTCGTGAGATAGCGCGGTTCACTGGTGTCTTAGCCGGTGTGCCTTGGGGTGTTCGAGATGAAGCCCTAGTTACACGTGAAGGTAGGGGTGTTGCGACGTCCTTGTCTTCGCAGACAGCCTCTTCATGTTCTGCATTTTCGCATTCGCTGTCTGTCTCAGATCCAAAGTCGGAAGCAGAATGGATGGAAGCGCCCCCGTCTGATTCATATTCTGCGTCTCCCCAGGAATCCCCCAGACTTCCCCGAAGTTTTCGAGGTGTCGCGTTGTTCATGGCACGCTGAGGAAGAGTGAGCTAGGAAATACCTAGGAATGAGGAAGGATGTGATTGGATCCAAGTTCAAGCTGAAGAAAGAGCGTAGATGGAGGTAGGGAGATGGAGTGAAAGGAGATAGGAATGTGTATATCACGGTAGTCAAGAGGGACTACTTAGGTTCAGGAACGAGGGGAGGCTGGGAGTGAACGATGGTTGCCACTTCCAGTGACGTGGTTGCGCTCCAATCAGATAGCGAGTGTGGTTTCACGTTCGTGGCGACGGGTGTGGCGAGGCGCCAACGCCACACCTCACTTCAATGAAGTTGAATGTAACTATCAGGCTCCGCGTGTAGGGTAGGAGAAGGTTGAAAGCCTTAAGGATTCATGATTTCGAGATATAGATGAATGAAATCCCCAAGCTAGCAAAAGCTTGAGAATAGTGGCTGGTGTGACGCCAAGCCACTCACGCCACCAACCCATCTCCAACTTCATGTCTTGAAACGAAGCCTGCTAGACCTCTCGATGCCACCTCCTCGTTGCTCTGTGCCCCTGCTGAATGCTTTCAGGTACACTCAATTGGCCTCCCAGAATACCCGTCGATATGCTCTGTTATTCATTAGGAGCTGTTCCTGCTCGGCTTCTAGGAACTTGCAGAACTCGGTAAACCTTTCCGCTGCGGACAGAAATCTACAGCTTAATCCAACGACGCTCAACTCACCCACTCGTCCAATCGATCATCGGACCCTCGCGCAGACTCATGGCCTCTTTATGACATCCCCATACAGCCCGGGATCGCCCCTTCTCCTTCCCAATGGCGCATACATTTTCCAGAAGCTCCAATCGTTCCTTCGCGCGCAGTACCCGCAATTTGGATTCCAAGAGGTTATCACGCCAACAATATACAAAAAGTCGTTATGGGAGAAATCTGGACACTGGGAAAACTATGCGGAAGATATGTTCAGTGTGCAGGGTCGAGGTGCTACAGGGCAGACGGAGGATGCGGATATGGGACAAGATGAAGAGTTCGGGCTGAAACCTATGAACTGCCCAGGGCATTGTTTACTATTCCGAGATGAGGTAAGGAGCTACAGGGATCTTCCGATTCGGTATGCGGATTTTAGCGCGCTGCATCGGAATGAGATATCAGGCGCTTTGACTGGGTTGACGAGGGTGAGGAGGTTCCATCAGGATGATGCCCATATTTTCTGTCGGCCTGACCAGATCTTGGGAGAGATTGAACAGACACTAATGTTTGTTGGGATGGTGTACGACACTTTCGGCCTCGGCCCGTACAAGCTTCTCCTATCTACCCGACCGAAGGATCACTTCATCGGCACCATCGAAGAATGGGACCGTGCGGAAGAGCAGCTGACTTCCGCTCTAAACAACAGTGGAAGGGAATGGGCTCTTAATGAAGGAGATGGTGCTTTCTATGGACCTAAGATCGATATCATTCTTAAGGACTCAAACGGCAAAGAACATCAAACCGCGACCATCCAGCTGGATTTCCAGCTACCGCAACGCTTCGACTTACAGTATCAAGCTTCTCCAGAAGAGCTAGAGTCAGAAGTTGCATCATCTAGTGTAGATGGGCTAGACCCAGCGAATCGTCGACCTGTAATCGTACACCGGGCCATATATGGCTCCTTGGAGCGCTTCATGGCCCTTCTAATTGAGCACTACGCCGGCAAATACCCCTTCTGGCTTTCTCCGCGGCCTGCGATAATTCTTTCTCTCAATCAAGATCCTGATCTTCTCAAGCATGTCTCGCATCTTCAATCCCTGCTCTCTGGACTCAAGACCCCGCAGACGAAAGTCGACGCAAGTCCGAAACCAGCCCCTCAGTCACTTTCCACAGTCCATTTGCCCATTGATATCGATACATCCGCTCGGGCCTTGGGCAAGAAGATCGCCGAAGCGCAGAAGAGGAAGTACAACCATATCATTGTTGTTGGTCCAAGCGAAGTACAGAACGGAAGGCTAAGACTAGAAATTGCAAGCCAGCCGGGTTTAACCGCGACGAGAGAAGCCCTAGTTAGTGCACTCGGCCGTGATCTCTCTGAGAGCGAGACAAAGAGGAAAATCGCGGTCAACGTTGATGCTAAAGAAGGTAGAGCGTACTTTGAAGAACTAGTAAACAGGTTCTTGTAAATATAATGTAGAATAACCTGTCCTTTCTTGTACGCAGTACGATGTACGTATCAATTCTCATATCAGCCTTCATTTTATGTTCGTTTCAACTCATTCCCGGCCGTATCTCAAGGTCTAGCTTGTGGTATACGTATCTAGCTAAAACTGTTTTTCACACGCAATCACTTGCGCTGGTCTCTTGTGAAAAGGATCGGCTGCACGGAGCACTCGGTACATTATATCTCCACCCACGAACCTCTGACAAGCCATCACTTCACCTCGCATCCAGCCAACGATTCCGTTGTTAGACATGACAATGGCTCCAACCGAAGAGGCAACGAGGCAACGAAGGCTCCCAGGCCAGTTCGACCACCGGTCGACATTCTGACGTGCTCCTTCTCGTCTTTCGTTTCACTGTAAGTTGCATCCCCTAAATCTGTTGTTTGCTAACACTTTGAAGGAGGAACTACGGCGAGATCATCACGATTAAGGCTGGTGATGAGGGTCGAGAGTTTCAGATCCACAAAGGACTTCTTACCCAGTGCTCTTCTTACTTCCAAGGAGCGTTGAAGGCCTACTAGGCAAAGGGAAAGACACGATTTGTGAAGCTGGATGAGGAAGAAGCTATGATAGAGATGTTCTTCTACTGGCTTTATTCAAAACAGCCCAAATTCACCCATTATAACCCCTCTTTCTCTAGCATTCTCAAAGCATACGTTTTCGCCGACTCGCCAGGCATTCCCGAATTTGCTAATACCGCCATCAATTTTCTTTTCCAGAAGATGGCGGAATGTCCTAACTCCGTCATCGTAAGTCAATACCATCTTGTTCTTGACCTGACTAATCACAACAGTTTCAACTGCTAGGAACCATCACACTTTTTTTGTCAGAGAGTTGGCATGATTCGCATTCGGCAATCCTAGGATGGTGCAGTAGGTAATTTGAAGGTAAGGACACCGGAAATTGCAGAGCAGCTGCCTTTAGGGTCTTACAATAGAAGGAATATGGGAAATAAATATTGAAGAGAGTAAATGGTTATTCTAAAGATAGAGTATAACGATGTCTAGCTGGCTCAGTTTTGTTCTTCTTCTTCTCCTTCTTGCCCATGCCATGTTCACGCTTTTCACGGAAAGGAATCAGATCCACCATTCAAACGCACTCAATATTCGTGTCCTCCATCCTGTACTGCATATTGCCACCTACCGTAGAACATGGCAGGGTATCCGGAAACAGCAATCTGCATCCGACCAACACACTCTTTTATTCCAGTAGAAGGTTTAGCAGCCTCCAACACAGTTATATGCTACTTTGTGTGGTCACAAGCTGTATTAGCTGCTCTGGCCGGAATCTATGGAGGCTCCATTTCCAGCACAGTGCCTAGGGTTCCAGGGGAGATTTTAAAAGTATGAGGTGCTTTCACTGTTTACCTCGTGAGTCTCATTCTTGGTCGTTGCTTAATAGTATTGTCTCATCATGCTGCTCGTTGTTATCGCCTCTCTCACCTCTTTTCCCCACGTTCTACCCTTAGATCATTTAATTTCCTTCTGGGACTCGGTACACGCAGAGATTGCTTCACCCGCTTATGACTTACGTTATCTTACGTTAGTATTTCCTACCGCAACACAACTTCCCCGGGCTCTTCCAAGTTAGGGCAATTGCCGCAATGGGGAAGGAAAAGCCTAGGCTATATCCTATTCCGCTATGCGTGCTTAAACACAAGACCGTCTCTCCTCCATATGAATTCTGGTTCCCAATATCTTAACACCCCCCTTACAATACTGCCAGGGCGGCTTACCCTGCCCCAGTGGTTACGATCGTAGTCGACGAAAGAGAACAGCAAAAGATGTTCTACGCCTTTAGAGGACTGTTAAATTTCCACTTAGTATACTTCTGTCGTGCCTCGAAAGACTGCTGGAAAGAGGGAAAGACCAACTCATCGAGCTCCTACACGATAGTGTAGAACTCTTTGATGCGTTTCACTACCGTCTCTTCTCTAAGCGGTAGTATTATGCTCTTGCTTCGCCTGCCGAAGCCTCAGCCACCAAAGGCTCGATTCCATTTAGTGCTCTTGCGATATTCAAAGTCTTCATATTCGCGGACAAGAGGGAAACAGGGCAATTGACCCTTTGTTTACCAAAAGCCGCGACATGTGGGGAACTTCTTGTTGATAGCCTGGACTACATATATGACAATATCATCTAAATTCCAGTTTTGAGGCTGCTTGTGGATGATTGTCTAATGTAATCAGCACCACCCATCAGCAGATGGTAAAACCCCAGCCCAATATCTGCTAGATTTCCTTATTGAACTCACTGAGGTATCAACTGTGGTCCATCTGTCCACACCCGAGACTTAAGCATTATCACAGGCTCTCCTTTATGTACTCAGGTGGTTCCGTCCACTGAGGTGCTTCAGAGACTATGAGGCTCAAAACACGTGATGGTACCTGTGCACATCTCGGAACTTCCTTCCGTGATAACAAAGTGCCCGCCTCCTCTCCCGAACAATGCCCCTAAAAACCTTAAATACGATTCTATTATCCGAATATTTGAAATATAGATGCAGGGGCCAAGACTCCCTCCGCAACACACCAACAGCGCCTCGGCGAGTCTTGAGACCTTCAAAGTTCGTGGTCTGTTCCGTCGGAAATTCAGGGCCCAGACTATACCGGATCCTGCAAGCGTGTGTAAGATGTTAACGCCTTCAGCCAACAGGATCCTTAACGTCGATCCGCACGGCACAGCCTCTGACCTCACCGACCAGACTATCTTTGCCAAAAGGGATATGCCAGCATCAAGCCCCGGGTTAGGCTGGGGGCCGGACAGACACGCGGCGCTTAAGACCGCAATGCCCCGGACTCCGGCGTGCGAAACTCTATCGTGATGATTCTTTGAGTGTCTTCCACGTTCGCGACCGTTATAACGTCATGGCACGGCTTGTTTTTCTCTCATCGTTGCTCTTAATCCCATTACGAGTGGTAGCGGACTATGACCAGTTTTACTTTTCATCCAACGTGACGAATTGGAGATGTTCAAAACTCGCATTCGATTGTATAGCCCCTCAAGTGTGCGCCCACGAATCTCTTCTCGATAAATTCTACTGTTGCGGTCCTGGGTCCGATTCTGTATGCTGGTCTGGGGCGCAGGATTGTTCTGGGTCGAACGGTGTTCCCTCATCAACCCAGGTCGGGTGTGGGAATAACGCATTTTGTTGCCTCAACAACAGGTGAGCCATTTTGAAGTCATCAGGGATCGGAATATGATAGATGGCTGACATGCTCTTGTTAGGGAAGAATGTACACAAAGAGCAAGTAAGTAGAGTGGCGCGTCTTTGGCTTCGACGAACTACGCTGACTTTCAAAATTGAAGACCAAATCAACATCTGCTGGGCGACCCCAGAGAACCCCTTCGCAAATGTTACAGAAAAGGAACTGAATAAAACCTTTTCTTCCCTCAGCTCGGCGCGACCCTCCGCTAGTAGCTACTCATTTAATTCAGCCAAGCTCTTTGCGTCAACAACTTCCGGTGCTTCGTCCTCAGCCACCGCCGCGTCTGCCTCCACTACAGCCACCTCTTCGGCCGCCTCCCCTACACCCACACAAGGCGACTCCAGCGGTGGGATATCTGGTGGTGCAATCGGCGGAATAGTTGTGGGAGTGGTTGGTGGCCTGGCTATTATTGGTGCAGGGTGTTTTTTCCTTTGGAGACGCCGCAGTAACAATAGTAAGGCTACACAAGACGGAAATCCATACAATGGAAATCCGAACATGTATGGTGGATATGGCCAGGTTCCTCAAGGATCACCAGTGCCCCACGAGAAGTATGGGATGCATGGAGCGCCTCTGGTCCCGCCAACGTACCCGCCAGTCGAGATGGATGCGACGTCACAACCTGTTGAGGTAGAAGGGAATAAGCCACAGAATAACAATATTTGAGAGCGATTGGCATCGGTAATATTGGATGAGGATTGAATTGACTCTAGGAGAGCAAAGAAGTGTCGAACTTTGGCAAGAGGGAAGAGTTGGATACATATCCTTCGGATCTACACCCCTACAACCACGCCTGGAAAGACGAAGTTTTGGTATGCAGTGAAAGAGGAAAGAGTTGGATATAGATAAGATGTTTTGGCCCAACATTCCTGGGAGTCGCACTCTAGAAATGTGCCCCCAGCGCCCGTGTACTATTTCGTTTCAACCACTTTAGCTATTACCTTGCGCGGTTCGAAATCGCCTTGTTCTCTTCTTTCCCACTTTTACATCTTCTAGCGCTATTGCAGGCTTTATGGATACCGGCTGATTTGGTGCATACTTGGATGGGATCCTTCAACTTTCTTCGTCTGATCTTCGACATGGATCCTGTTGTCGACACTTTCCTAGGAGTTCTTTGGCTTAGATCTATTACGTAACTCCGCTCTCCAGGTGGCAACAGGATCAACGAAAACTGTCTTGCAAACCGCCGAGGAATCTACAGCATTGTCTTCCCTAATTAGAGTATAACAAGGATTATTTACGACGCTGACTTCTGGTCTATTGAATTTTCCCTGATTCCTGCAAGAGGCTAACAGAACCAACTCGCCCCAGCCATATTGCACGTTATGTGATGACATACTGTCCATCTTCGCTGCGCTTCGTTCCGAAGGAACTTCGGATTGTCTTCAAGGCCGGGGTCCAATCGGAAAATCCTCCCTATCGTGTTATTCCTACGAAGTACTAGAGGTCAGAGACCTTTCAGTGACAAGATGATAGCCTTGCTTTCTCACTCGAACACACACTCTTCGCGTCGCCATACCCTTAAGTTGCCTGACTATCCTACTTTCACTTTCATCTCGTGTCTACCTTTTCGCTCCTGCTTGACATCTCGCTTTCCCTCGCCTATTTCCTTAGACTTCCTAATGTTCGTGCTCCTCTTTTTCATCTCAGTGGGGTTATTCACTACGGCCAACAGCTCACCTTCTACAACATTCTCTAAACTCGACAGCTCTCCGACTTTCAACCCCTTCTCCGATACAGGTCATCGCCTTCATACATTTACCTACGCCTCGCCTAACCTTGAACCCCCAGTCCCTTTCCAGGTGACCCCAGGCAACCCGCCAAGGGGAATGGAAAAATTCCCCGCCGATCGACTTTCCAAACCGCCAGTTTGCTACCGAACCTTCACCAGGATTTACCCTGGGAGACTTTTCGAAGATATCGCTTATACCCAACAGAGGAGAACGGCTGGTAGTCGCTGTGATTGTCGGAACCGGACAAAGTCAGCGCAATTTCCAAGCGAACAAAGGGCTTGTCACTTACTCCTCTTCCTCCTTCGAGAAGGTTGAGGGAAAGCCTGGGAAGAAGACCGGGCTCAGACGACTAAGTTTCCTACTGAAAGTCCTAGAATTTTCCAAGCTTGCTTCCATTAGCTATTTACTCAGAAACTCCACTTTCGGTAGATGATATAACTTGCCTATCCCCACGCAATCCAGAGCTGACCCTTACATAGGAAGCTTTAGATTGCCATCGAATATGCCTAGCGACCAGGACCAAGTGCGCCTGCTAAAGAAGGACGCGGGAGACATTAGGGCATCCAGCTCTATTATCGTGACCTAATAGACCTCGTTTAAGCAGATCTGGAAAGACGCGCGAACAGCTGCTCGGGTCTTGTTGCTAATGAGTTATTTCAACAAGTAGGGGATTACAGAATCAATTTTTTACTAATAATATCTGCGTGATGACGATGGCGAAACAGATTTCGAGGACGATGTTTAAACTCTACAAACTATCCGCTAGCAGAAATAAGCGTGGATAGAAATGAGTTTGGTATTCATCAACTAGTGCAACTCTCCATGTGAAAGGGCTTGGAATGTACGATGAACTAGAAGAGAAGAAGGAGAAGTGCGTGACGCTCATGTTGACAGCTTACATCCTAGATGTCACGAGAACTGGGCCCTGTGTCGGGCGCTGTTTTCGCACCCCGTAAGCGGCGGTAGGATGTCGGCTAGGTAAGGTAAAGGAGCTAGAGGCGTAAGCGTTCGTTCTATTCAAAGCAGCACACTACGCAGACAATATGGGAAACTACCAAGTACCGAAGGAGATGGCTGAGGCGCCTCTGAGGGGAGGGAGGCTGCTTTAGGAGCAGAGCGCCTAGACATGCCTACCAGGGTCAGCAATCTTGGGTCGGTGTTGTCGAGGCAGGACAAGTATGAAGAAGCGGAAGTGATGCTCCAGCGAAATCCAGAAGGAGTCGGGAAGGTGCTGGGGCGCACGCTCACGGGCTTCAGCCGATTCTCCCCTATTTTAAATACTAACAAGCTTTCCAGCCTAATCTACCTTTACATGAATCCCTTCGTCTTCCCTCATATTTTGCAAACTATGTTGGTCAGCTCTTTTCAATTCTTCTTCACGTTTTTTCTTGATTCGTTCCATCACCGCAAGTAATTCCGTATTAGCTGGAGCATCTAACATATCTCTCTCCTGTTGGGCCACCATTCGGAATACTCTTTCCCATTTCAAAGTCTCTTCTTCTTCCAAACGCCTTCCTCGAGGAGGGTTTCGCAGTTGGCCCTCCATTCCTTGTACCTCTCCCAGGCGGAAAGTTTTCTTGACATCAGGGCTTCATAGATATTACAAATGATGGTACAAACCCTAGCGCTCAGTGTCACGCCAGAGCCGAGTTCCGTAATGGAGTACCCGGTTCGCGGCACGGCGAGCATCTCCAGCGGAGACGCCTTAGGACCTCGTTTGGGTTTTTGTAATTGGATGGTGGAAATTGCGATAGCCACTGCCAGCAACAACCAAATCATCAAGAATCGTAAGGACAAAGCACAGAATCCCATACTGAGATATATTCTCGGTCGATGGTCTTTGCTACGATTTCGGGAAAACTAGAAGTCTAGAAGCTCTCTCCAGGGCTGGCAGGTTTTTCCCCAGCTTATGAAAAGTATAAATATTTAAAACATGTAGGAAGCGGGGTACAGCACGAGGACTATAGAGCTCCCAGCTGCCGGAAGCTTCATATAGATCACGCCGCGTGGATATAGCAAAGAGAAGCGAAAGGCACAGCACACTGACAGCTCTGGTACAGATACTTCTCTTCAGCCCTCCTATGACGCCGGCGAGACCGAGAAGTTTCAATCGCTGAATACCATACGACAATGTAGGATGTCGCGTACAAGGATTCCATTGCGGACTATGCACTATTTCTTGTAGTCTTCCATAGCTCGTACTGATATTATATTGCTGTGATACTGGGGATAATGGGAGCTGCAATGAGATCGTTTCCGATTGTATCACGCGCCGTTCTTTGTCGATTGCAAGTCATGAGAGGAAAACGGAAGCCATGGAACATAAACAGCCCAAATATGCGGCAGGACCATAGAGAGACGAAACTTTTAGAGAGGCGCCCATAATTGAGAGAGAGAATGAGGGATCAACTGATGTTTGATACGACTAAATATATGCGACGTTGGTGATATTATCTGGTTATGCAAGGCACATCAGCCCGACATGAAGATCTTACCAGGAAGAGGAATACTCGAAACATAATTGCAAGACAAAGCAAGACAAAGCAAGACAAGCTACGGAAACGACATTAGAACTGCTTTCCCTGATGCAGGGAGACTCGCTTCAGTCATCCAATTATAAGCTGCCTGACATGGCACAAGCAAACTGCGCACTCCTTGGAAGTGTCCATCAGCACTGGCCAAGGCCGTGCTGTTGTTACGCCTGCCACTCATTCTCGAGAAAAATATCATCTTGGAAGCAGCTTACGCCGTAGAGTCATGCGATGTCTGTCGAATGCAAGATTTTAACCGTAATACTCTTCATTCCATATATATAGTGATCACGTACTACCGTAAAAGTCCTTAAGAATTTTTAAGCAGAATACGAGTAAGTGCAATTGCAAAATACAAGCTCTATGAGCTTCCCACAAGCTAGGCGAAAGCTATATAAAAGTTAGAGAAAGACTGCCTCACCAAGAGATCGTCACGAGAATGTAATAGGATTAGCTCACAATCAAAGATAGTGTTAAGCTAAGAGGACCAGTTTGAGCCTACCACAATCATTGCTCCTCTGGATTATTAAGTTGAAGATTGCTTGATTGCACATAGTCAATATTCTTTATGAGAACTGACATATTGACTTCTTCTTTGTGCGTCTTGTAGTATGGAGCCTAGCTAACCTAAGTGGCTTGTATGTGAATGAGGCTGCTAGCTCCGAGGCTAGATTATAGTAGGCAATCCGGACGAGCTCTCCTACTAGCTATCAACAGCAGGTTTTAGAGGTGACTAAGGCAACTTAGCATTTGCAAATAGTGGCATGAACTGCTAGATTGGCAGTCAAAATGCTAGATTGGCAGTCAAAATGCTGTGTTTAGTATAGGAGAAAAAGGTAGAACGCCCATGAGCACTAGATTTCTACATTTTTGCTATCATCTAGGCTACTTCTCCTGACGTGGGATTCAAAGACATGATATATGATTGATTCTTTTCCTTCAACCTCTTAGAGCGTCTAGCTGTTTGCTCCTCAGAATCAATTTGCATTATATCCATCCTATCCTCAATTCCCTCCGGGATTCGGTTAGGCTATTTTAATACGGATCATATACCTATGGATCAAAGGGTTTATTATGGACGTTTAGCGTCAGCAGTGAATGTTGCAAAAGGAAATCTACTTGCAGGGATGTTGGTCCCACAGTCGGGTGACCCAGCCTCGTATTCCAATAGCGACAGGGTGCAATACAACCCACACATGCAAGAGATGGAATGGAGTGACTGTAATCATGGCCCAATGGAGCATGTCGTATCGCATCGCGCTCGTAATTTTGAGGAACCTACCGGGGAATAGGAGATGGTCGACTTAGGAGGCATGGTTACATTCGATTGATGTCCTACCTAGTCGAAAGTTTTATTTCTCCCTATCCGTATTCTATAATAGGCGCTGACATCCCGTACTTTTCTGTATTGGAGACACCGAAGACTCGATAATATGCTGGAACCGCAATTCCATCACCTCACAGTTTCGCGCCCGCTCTTGGTTGCATTTATTGATGCGATGTCGGCCATCCATCCCCATCATTCGTACGCTGGAAAGATGATCCATACAGCTTCGTAGCATTCCATTATTGTGATGACGATATCAACTTCTCACTCTATGCCAAAGATATGCTGTGAATAAAACCACTGACCCACCAGTTGCCCCACGCTGACAGTTCGGAGAATTCAGTCTATTCTAGCGTTCATAGATGTCTAGGAGTAAAAGCCTCGGCAAATACTCCTCATATTGCAAGACGTTATCCTCTTTTGTAAAATTAGTATGAATAGTAGCAAGAATATGTATGAGCAGGTGGTGGTTCAGGAGATTTCCCTGGAGCGTCAGGAAATGGTCGATAGGGAGATAACTTTCGACTGAAATTTTCTTAAGCAGAATATTAACGACTGCGTTCGACACAGTCTGGGTGCCTCTCATGTCAGCAAAGACTGCTAGATCGAATAATTCCTTGAAAGTCAGAATTGGGATGATTTCTGTGTTAAGATCCGGCGTCCAGCTTGTTAAAGAGGCAAAATTTGAATTCTTCCGGCTTGCGACTTGTTGAGCTGATGTATTGGCGAACGTAGTGGAGCTCCATTCCGTTTAGAAAACCCCCAGTGTAAATGCAATTATAGAAGAGTTGGACCATGTGCGAGCCCTCCTGGTCTACTTTGATGATCCCTGACTGACCCTCGACGAATTGCTGGTGGCTGAGTGCGGCTGAGAAATACAACGAATAGTGTGGCAAAAGGTCTTTGTAAACTTCGAAGGTCTTCTGGCGCTGGTGGCTAACTATTAATCTGGCTATTTAATTGTACGCAGTGTTAAGGCTAATCAACTGGCCGAGCAGAGTTAGAGCTTGGTGCACCTACACGGGAGGGGTGGAAGTTGACTGAGGTAACGAAGGTGAGTGAAATCGGTGTAATGAGAACTTCGATCCTTTCGACTGATGGCTAGGGCGGGCTCGTCTTCCATTTTCGCCATATTCCAAGGTTGGGTTCAGTGAAGTGCTTGTTTGGTTGAGAGGGTGTGTTTGGTCCGAAATTTCGCCCGTCCTTGCCCTTTCTATCTGCCAAGCAGGCGCACTGGCCATTTATCTACGAGGAGACAGGTGAGTGCAAGTAAAAGTACTGCATATTAGCGCCTACTACGAAACACTTCCAGAGAAGATCCAGTATCGAATGGGGAAGTTTTGTAAAGAACGACTTTTCGTTTACTCGAGTCAGATACCACTAGCTCTCACCCATGCGGAAGACTTCAACGACACAGAGACGGTAGAAGACTGAGAAGAGAGAAGATTTTTGGATTCTTAAGAGAGCCGAGCTAGGGGAGCCGAGTGAGGTGAATGAGTTCGAAACGCTCATCCAGCTTACTTTGATCCCCCGGCCCACGATAACGGGCATTTAAAAAAGCTCTGGAACCGAAGCTGGCTTTGCCGAGCAAAGACTTCCAGCAGTGGGTGAATATGAAAATGACACGATAGGAACCATACCGGAGGGGAGCGATGACCTTTTGGGAGCAATCACACAATATGACCTAGACCAGGGGTTACTTGGACGCAATGAAACTGTTCTTCAAAAGATGACACTACTAGATGCCTGGGAAACTATATACAACGCACTATCTGCGCTTCATCAAGTCGAAAAGGGCTCGTCGCCTTCCTTCGCCGCCTGTACTAGTCAGCATTGAGCCATCCGAGTTGGGAACCACAGTCTAGAACTCACCCTTACAGCACGTGGGCCGCCCAATTCCGCCTCAAGCCCACCCTCATATGTCTTCGGCACCGAAATCTTGTCGGGATACACTAGACTCACAGCCCCAGCCAGGCCGACAACGGCAGCAACAAAAGTGCCAAGCAACACTCCTCCCCACCCTGCCGTGAAGTGTGTGTATTCGTATGTAGAGAAGATGCCGAGAATGTCGTTGTCCTCGTGGACAGGTTCCCCGAAGTTGCGTCGTTCCTGCTTGTCCCACCAGTCGCCGTATGGGTCACGGAACTGTCGCTTGATAGGCGGGGGGTTGAGGTAGCCACCGTTCTGAATGCCCATCAGTGTCATGGAGATGCAAATAGATAATGATATTGCTGACCATATTCGGATCCTCAATCTCCAGTCGCTCAGCTTCGGTCATGGCAGTTCGGACCTGGGTGAATCGAGGTCGTGCGGCCGGGACGAGTGCGCGGGTGAGCGGACGGGCCGCTGCAATGCGCCGGGAGAGCATGCTAAGAGAGGGTAAGCAGAGATAGACAGGCAATTGAAGAGAGTACGTACGTTGCGGCGCAGCTGTAGGTAGCAAATAGTGAGGGATGATGTCGGATGTTGAGGTTCGTTATGCGAAGTGAGCTCCGACCTGATGGCACGATGGGGAGCATCGACTAAAGCGACAACGCGCTTTACCCGATTGAGAAGTGGTACACCTCGTAGAAAGTGCACCTCACGCGGGAGACTCTGCTACATATAATTTCTCGAAGTATGGGCAAGCGATTCGAGTTGCTGGAGTCAAATGCCCCTTCTGACAAAATTGCATCAAATTCAAATTCATTTCCCGTGGGGGATTCCATTGACCTGCTTAATGACTTCACGAGGCCCCTCCGCTAGCGGCTTGGCATTGCCGCGTTGAAAACATTCTGGTTCTTTGAGTTTTCGAGATCACAAACACGACACCGACCAGGCCACAAATCTGCCCGTAACTGGCTGTTTGCGCCTGCAAACCAAATTCTGACAACGCCACGGGCATAACTAGCTTCGGCGCTATTTTGCAACACCACATTTGACCCGTTTTATGCTGATTTGGTGGCGCTACCGGTGGTCTCCCCGCGCGAGGCTCCTCTCTCGACTGTTTGGATGGACATGAGCGCGGATGTCAAGCTCGTCAACCGCGACGGCGGCCTCAACCCACCATCCGACGCTGTCCTCCCCATCGATGAGTCGGCCACAGCCCACAACGATGATGCTTTCCAAATCAACAGCAAAGTCTCAATAAAAGCAGAAGAGGAGCCTCTCGCGGCGAATGGGGACCATGGTGGTGTCACGCAGCGTCCGGCTAAGCGGCGCAAGCTTGACGACCTCCCTCCAAGTCGCTCAGCGTCGCGCGCCGTATCACCTCCCTGGAAGCCCTTCGCAGCTAATGGGCCGACGACGATAATTACAGACAGCGGCATCAGGAAGTCCGGGAGGGTCAACAAGGATGCTCCGCCGCCGGTGCCTGAGCCAGTCAAGCGAAGCACCCGGAACGCGGCAAAGGCTACACAGACAAATGGGATACCAAAGAATACTGCACAGCAGAATGGGTCTCGTTCGCTGTCTGGATCTGCAGCCGTCTCTAAGTCCAAGGCGGCACAGTCTGTCGCCCGCAAGGCATCTACGCCGTCGCTTCAGTCGCCAACTCAAAGGAAGTCTGAGCGCCACAGGAAATCCTCCTCCTCTGCTGCCACTGCTGCCGCCCCCTCGTCTCCTGTGCTGCAGAATGGGTTCGCTGATAGCGCAAGGCGTCGACCCGGACGGCCTCGGAAATCGACGCAGACGTCCTCAGATGACATGGGTGGCGACCTCTTCAGTACTCCAACGTCGCATTATCCGAGCGGCCTTGCTTCCGGCGGCATTCACAGCTCACCCTCAGACGGAAATCCTAATGCGCCATTCCGCCTCAGACTTCGGCTTCGCAAACCCGAGCCTCCCAACCGACACCCGCAGCACGTGCCTGCCCCTGCAAAGTTCTCCTCGTTCGCCGAGTGGCTGCAGCAAGATGATGCGCTGGAAGGAGAAGAGGGGCAACGCATAACGCACGATAGGGCTGTCGAGGAGGCAGAGCGGCGCATACAGATTGTCGACGCCGTGGAGCATGGCGTGCTTAGTCAAGCACAGTGCAGCATATTCATCCCTGACGCTGCTGACGAACCCCCTCCACGCTATGGACACTGGGATTATGTTGTCGCGCACGCTGTGCACTTCAACAAGCTGCTCAAGGAGGAAAATGCTTACCACCGAAGGATGGCAAAAGTTCTGGCGAGGGAGGCTGTCGACTACTGGAAGGAGAAGTACAAGCGGAAGACCCAGGAAGAGATTGAACAGGAAGAAGCCGAACGTGCAAAATTACGGTACAGACAACTGGTCAGAGATGTCAAGGATTCCTGGGCAAACGTCAAGATAGATATCGATAAGGAACGGGTAGCGAGGTGGGAGGAGGAGCAGCTTCAGCTTGGCCACAAGGCCATGGATGACATGTTCAACCAGGCGAAGGAAATTCTTGGCCGGAACGTCGTGGGCTCTACTTCCTCTTTCGTCAGCGAAGATGAGGAGAGTGAAGATGAGGACGCCCTGTCTGAGGGCGGTGCTCCGGTTGCTTCTGGTGACTCGGATGATGACGAAAATATGAGCTCGATCTCTGACAGTGATGACGGCCACGAGAATGATGACGATGCTAATCTCACCGCCGAGCAATTGCAAGCCAAGTATGATCAGCTCCCTGACCTCCCTGACGAGACTTCAGACGACGAGGGAGACTCGGAAGTCGACGAGGACGACGACCAAGATCAACGAACTCCGGATCCCACTCCGGATCCAGACCTTGAAGTGCAGGATGGCGATGATCTATACGCTACTTGTAACCTTCTCCCCAACAACCCTTATGCCCATACAAATGGACATGCAAATGGATTCGACTCAGACGAAGCAGAGGAGGGCAATCACAAACCCAGCGGCATCGATCCTGCCACCGTCGATCTAGAGCAAGTTGACGAAGCTCTACTAGATTCAGAAGACGATGGGAGCGCATCCGAGTCTGGGAGTGAGGAGTGGTTGAGTGGTGAAGAATCTGAAGAGGATGACCGCTCCGCGTTGGGCTCAGATGATGAGGAGGATCTGGGAGTCTTGGGCTTCCTTTCTAGTGCAGAGATCAAGCAGATGAAAGCAGCCGCTAAAGCTTCCGTGGATACTGGAGATGGAATTGGCCAGATCGAGGATGGAGAAGTACCTGCTGTAAATGGGGTCATCGGGCATCACGAGGAGTCAGAGAATCAAGAGGTGCTGGGACCTGCCATCGTAAACGGCAGTTCAATGACGACAGAGACGCAAGGTCACCCTACCAACTATGACGACGACGACGCCGCCCCACGCCCTGCGCCCTCGATTGAAATAGACGAATCCAAAGATGTGGAGTACGCTCCCTCCATATCCGAGAAAGCCATTTCAAGGAGCAGATCTCGTCATGTCTCCTCTCCTCCGCGTACCCAAATACCGTCCTTACTCCGGGGTACACTCCGAGAATATCAGCACGGTGGACTTGACTGGCTCGCCAACCTCTATGACTCTGACACAAATGGTATCTTAGCCGACGAGATGGGCCTTGGGAAGACAATCCAGACAATCTCTCTTCTCGCGTACCTGGCAGTCGATCGGGGAATATGGGGCCCTCACCTCGTCGTTGTTCCAACTAGCGTAATGCTCAACTGGGAAATGGAGTTCAAAAAATGGTGTCCAGGTTTCAAGATTCTGACATACTATGGGGACATTGCTGAGCGTAAGCGTAAACGAACTGGCTGGCGTACGGAGGGCAAAGACATGTTCAATGTCGTGATCACCTCTTACCAATTGATCCTGCAGGACGCCTCGGCATTCAAGATGCGAGCGTGGCAGTATCTCATCTTAGACGAGGCGCACAACATCAAGAACTTCAAGTCTCAGCGCTGGCAAACGCTATTGAACTTTAGAACGCAACGACGACTCCTCCTAACGGGGACTCCGTTGCAGAACAACATTGATGAGCTTTGGTCGCTACTTTACTTCCTTATGCCTGCCGGCCTTGCTGGAGAAGGTCGTATTGCCGGGTTGGAGGAGTTTACAATGGCTCTGAAGAATCCCACCTCCCAAATTATGGAGCAAGGCCGACAGCAGCTCGACGCTGAAGCACAGAAGGTTGTGAAGAAACTCCATGAGGTTTTGCGCCCATATCTTCTTCGCAGGCTGAAGGCCGACGTCGAGAAGCAAATGCCTGCAAAGTATGAGCATGTGGTTTATTGCAAGCTTTCGAAGCGCCAAAGACAATTGTACGACGGATTCATGGGCCGGGCCGCCACAAAGGAGATCCTAGCTTCTGGCAATTACATGTCTATCATCAACTGCTTGATGTCTTTACGAAAGGTTTGCAACCATCCAGACTTATTCGAGACTCGAGCCATTGTCACCTCTATGGCTATGCCAAAGTCTGTTGTTGCAGATTTTGAGATCAAGGACCTTTTGATCCGGAAGCGATTGCATCAAGGTATGCAAGACAAAGAAGTGAGTCTCGACGCTCTTAGCCTAGTATTTGCTCGGCGAGAGCAGACTACAATGCTACATGCACGACGCACGCAGCAAATTAGAGCAACACGACCACTCGAAGACCTTATTGAGCGGCAGACTCGGCGCCTTAAGACCGCACCTCAACCATCTTCGTCCTGTTTCGCCTCTGTTCTTGCCGCCATAGCAAACCGACAAAATATCGCTGTCCGCAACCAACTTCAAACGTGCCTCGACCTTACCCGCTCCCGTACCCAATTCTTACCAGTCTACGGAAAGGGTTTGATTGAACGTCTGACAATGAACTACGAAGATTACAGGTTTGGTGCCGCGGAAGAAATCAAGGACGAAGGTAAACCGGAAAGAAGAGTTGAACCAGTCTTTCGACCACAATTTGGTCCTCACGGAAGCCGCCTTCCAACGTCACTTACGTCCTTTGAGGAAGATCGTAAGGCTCAAATGGATAGGGAGGGAGGCAGAAAGGGTATGCTTGGGTTCCGAGCTCCACGTAGTCGCCTCCACGCTGCAGAATGGTACCACAGACAGATTACGATCTTCGAGTCGTTGGTGCCGACACTCGAACAGCGCGCCGAAGCTCTGGAGCCAATTGTCACCAGATTCAACTGTGTGACTCCGGCCGTTACTGCTGAGGACATTATTCCTCTTACATTGTCTAAGCCTGGCGTGGAGCTTATAAGATCATCGCCAATTGTACTTCGTCGAGACCCGTTTCACGAGTCTCGCATTCGCCAATCCATCGCTTTTCCCGATAAACGCCTTCTTCAATACGACTGCGGCAAACTGCAGCGCCTGGCCACGCTACTTCGAGACCTGCAAGCTGGTGGTCACCGGGCGTTGATCTTCACGCAGATGACCAAGGTCCTCGACATTCTGGAACAGTTTTTGAACATCCATGGGCATCGATACCTGCGCCTTGACGGAGCCACGAAGGTTGAACAACGGCAAATTCTAACAGATCGCTTCAATACTGATCCACGCATTCTGTGCTTCATCCTGTCATCTCGATCTGGTGGTCTAGGCATCAACTTGACGGGCGCCGATACAGTCATCTTCTACGATTTAGACTGGAATCCTGCTATGGACAAGCAATGCCAGGACCGCAGTCACCGCATCGGACAGACCCGGGACGTACATATTTACAAATTTGTCTCCGAACACACCATCGAAGCCAACATCCTACGTAAATCGAACCAGAAGCGGCTGTTAGATGACGTCATTATTCAAAAAGGCGACTTCACGACCGACTACTTCAACAAGGTCACATGGCGCGATGCATTGAACGAAGGGCCTGTGGACGAAGCCAGTGCCGCTATGGATAGGGTTCTAGGCGAGAAAGCTGGGTTGTTGGGTGATGCGCAGGTTATGCGGGCTGTGGAGGACAAGGAAGATCAGAATGCAGCTACAGTGGCGCAGAAGGAGATCGTGGATGAGATTCATGATGACCAGGTTGATTTTAGCGAGAGTACCTCGGCGACGCCAGCGAATGCGATGACGAGGGCGGTGTCAGAAGCTGAGGATGAGAGGAATAAGGTCGGGGATGGTGAAATGAGACATGTAGATGAATACATGTTAGCATTGTTCAGGGAAGAGTATGGTCATGAACCGTATAAGCCGCCAACGGATCGTCAGAAGAAGGCGAAGAAAGGCCAGGATGTACATCGGCATCCGAGGAAGAGGAGACAGCATTTCTAAGGGATACATCTAGTTAGCATCGTATGGTATTTCAAACCCTGAAACTACAAGGGTATGTGTATTAGTAGAGGGATGGTTGTCATGAGATGGATAGCATGGAGGGAGGAGTAGGTTGGATATCTCTGTCTGCTGGTCATCTGTTCCTCTCTCCTGGAGAACCAACCACCATGATGTCTGGTTTTGGGTTGGGCATTAACTGTATGATAGTTCTTCTCTGCATTGTGGTACTAATGGTGGCGTTGTCAGTGCATGAATGGCTGGAGTTGGACTGTGCTTGTGGGAATATGGAGTATTAAAACCATTAATGATTCAACTTTGTATCTGCGTTTTGCGATATTGCCTACTAGCTTCCTTTCTTACCGTCTATCGGTAACCATTGGTTAGAACTTTAATGTAGGGTTGAACTATATGCATCTTGAAATCAATAACCGGCCGCGAGCTTCTTCCAGATTTTCGCGTCTATAGTATTGCTGTAACGTCAGCGACTCGAGCCCGCACTGCTTATATAGCCGTCAGTCACCGTTCCCTTCAGTGCCGAGACGAACCTCACCCAAAAATCTGCCCAAACATGTGTAAGTAAACAGGAAAATCCCCAGTATTTCCAATGCTAGGATAAGAATTAGTGGCTTCACATGCAACGGTGTAGTGATCGTCGCTTCGGACTCCTTTAATTACTAGACTATTGCGACGAGATGACGAGATCGAATTCCGCGCTTAGAAGTGCTTATGCTCAAGAATTCAGTATGCGATAATTCCACTCACAGGCTTATCGGATGTTCCGCTGCAGCCCTGGAATGTGCAAGGCTTCCATTTTGCTGCTAAAAGATTTGGGTTTGTACGTGATTTTTATTTTCGAGAGGGCCAAGATGTTTCTTTGCCACAATAGGGATTTTGTTGCGAATGGCTAACGACCACAGGAAAGTAAATGAACATGTGGTCTGGGTAGTTTGCCATGACGCTGAAGCTTCCTGCCGAGATTGGGGGCATTTGCGGAATATGAAGTCCCACTTGGCTTCTTGAGGGACTTGTGTCCTTGGCCTCAATCCGTTTCCTGATCAAATATAGATGAATGGAGATAAACTACAATAAGATGTTGATTATTGTAGAGGTAGGAGAGAAGTGACGTGTGATTAAGCAGGCAAGAGCCCCGGCTCAAAGCTAACCTGATGCGTAATACAATCGCGAGCACAATCGGTTTCTGGTTTGTGCGTTCGATTTGTTCCTCACCCACGGTCTTTGCAGCAAGGGGAATTCCGAATCAATGTCAGTGTGTTGCAGGGATAGCCCCAGACAAAGTTCCGCTACTTAGCGAAAGGCTTGGTATCCCCTCCTTAACGCAGCTACTATGCTATGCACGTGATTCCCCACGGTATAGGAGGGTACTGGAAAATATCCATTACACCCATAGCTCTTGCATTTTGCACTGTGGGCACCGAGGCCGACATACTAAGGAAACAACAAAAGGATATATTGAAAGCGAATCCTTGAGGAACTCAGAAGTCATATGGCAGGACTATGTAAGGACGATATGTGACCGTGGACAGCCGACTATGATCCGGGTGGTTCTAGGCAGGATCGGCAAGACACTAGCTTTTTCTTCAATGATTAGCCTTCTTGTCCTATACTACCGAGAGTAATAGCTAAAGCCAACCATAGGAGAAGAGTATTATGTACCAGCGGAAATACTCTGTCTATCCACTCCATGTTCGCTGAAACAGATCTGAAGCAATTTCTTAGTGCAAGGTGGAATCTACACGCGAGGCGCTTCAGATAGTCAACGAGATTTACGCTCCATGTATGGCCTTTTTAATCGCCTCACGTCCTTCCCTGTGTCTTCTTGTCGTCGCCTTTTCCCGGGGGTTGTGTTGGAATGGCGTAAAGGCCTACCACCCCTTGCTAATAGCTGATAAAGAGCCTTTTCTTGCGGCGGAATGTCATACTTGACCTGCATCCAAACAGTTGAGCGGCCAAATCTCTCGAGTGGATCCGCACCCCAGTCCATCAACAATTTAGCACATCGGGCACTAGGCCCCTCTCCCTTCCCGTACGCCGTCCCAGCCGCTTCCGGAGAAAATATTGCTAACAGATAAGGCCTACGTGGTGCATTCGCAACCGAAGGATGACCCCGCTCGAGGAGTGCCTTTATCCAGGCCCATAGGTCAAACCGCAATGCTAGCGGCAGCAAAACGGCATGAGAATGAGGTGTGGTTCCGTAAAGAGATGCGAACTTCCAAGAAAGCTCAGGGTCATGCCTCATCTGTCGTACTCGTTGCGTAACGGCAGTGTTCAACCCGTCCAGGATAGGAATCAAGGTGTTTTGGTAGGATTCTCCAACCCTTGATGCGTTTTTCAGGGCTTTGATAACGCTTGGTTGAAGAGCTCCTGCCGCATCCCAATCTGAACACCTTACAGTATTCATCTCTATTATGGCCGCCTTGCAGAGGGCGATGTTTGGATCAAAAGAGGTTGTCTCCGCAAGAAGCTTTTTTCTTATATCGGGTCTTTCCACGAAATCCTTCACTGTTCGGTGTAGATATTGAACCGAGGACTTCCCTAGGTTCTCCAACTTGTCAGGGTCATGTTCGACATCACTTATACCTTCATTAGTTATCAACTAATTGCAACATGTAGAGAATATGCGTACCTAAGTCGCAACGACAGATGCAGCGGCCAATCTGTGACTTCTAATAGCCCTTTACATCTACTATCTAGACGCCGCTTCATCCATGCGAGCCTGTAAAAAAAGTCACCCTTGCCTAGAATAATCGGCTCTTTAACCTGTAACATTTTATCATCTTCTTCATCTGCGTAAGAGAGATGAAGAAGACTAATCTCTCCGTCGGCGGCCTGACATATCTGGAATAGTCGTGATGCATGCGCCAGATAGAAGTGGTCCAGGCTGTGCAAGATTTGTTCATACAAAGCCTCAAGGTCTCCTGGAAGTTCTTTCAGCCTTCTGTAAAGATCTACAATCTTGTCCCCGTTACTAATTCCAGCCAATAACGATTGCACAACCAGGCACACCCAGAGAAACACACCCGCAGCTCTGTTGGTAACCTCTGAACAAATCTCACGGGCTAGCTGTGGATCTTTCTTCTCTAGTGGCAGAAAGTCGCTATAGTTATAGAAGCTGGTTTTGACGAAGAGCTCAATGTCTGTTGTTGTAAGGTCCTGAAGCATCAGGCTAGGAGACTTTTCAAATGCACGCTGGAATACAACTAGGGGTCGACTCGCCGCACAGACTTTAATATGGGAGAAATGGGCCATGTGCTGCAGTAGACCGACGAGTTCGTTGTGGTCGCCATGGTATTCATCCAGGCCATCGATCAGGAAAAGCAACCTCATTTTTTGGAATTCTGCGTTGCAGATGTTTCGAAGGGATCTTGAGAGCTCAGGAACGGACCAATGAGGATCGAATTTCCCAGAAAACTTGTATATTTCCCAGCGTTCAGCGAAAATGCGGTCGACGAGGTTGGGTAACTTCCGGACCAACGTGTAGAGTAAAGTTTGCAAAAGGCCGCTGTAAGACATTTGTCTCTCCGTACCAGAATTCCAAAAAAAGAACCCGGATAATACTACGTCAGAGTCCCCGGACCATTTACTTAGGTGTTTCCGTGTTCGAGGATCATCGTATAAAAACTTCATGAGGGTCGATTTCCCGGAGCCCGGCTTCCCTGTAATCCAGTATATATCTGTACCTCGCTCCAGCCACTCTGAAAAGTTAACCCAGGTGTTCGGTTTTGTCGGCGAATCCTCGTATATCCATTCGAAGGTTTTCTGGTGCCGTTCAGCGATCCGATTATGACGATCCCAGATTTCATGAAAGTGGAGGCTAGATAAGATCTCCTTCCTGAAAGTCTCGATCGAAATGAATATGTCTATTTTGTCAGCAGCCTCCTGACTACCTTCAACGCTGGGTGGTAAAGTAGAATTGCGAATGGTGTCTATAAGGTCTCGCCACTGTTCATTGTCTCTAACACGTCGTAAAAAGGCTTCCAAAAAGAGATTGTGCGCGTTGACGGAAGCAGACTGTTGTTGATAGACTTTTGTCAAGGCGTCACTATATTGTGCGAAATCAGCAAATTGTGTGCAATCAAGGTGATAACATACGCTTACCGAGCCGATGCTAGCAGTCTGATGGTTAGCTGTTGCCTGAATCGGTCCAAGCGGTGTTCTAATTGTACAATCTTCTCTTTGTTCCACACGCATAAAAGTGCCCGGCGAACGCAGTCCCACCTGTTGCTTTTTCCTGTAGTCTTCAGCTTCTTCAGGGCTGCAAGAAGTTCTTCAGCCACAGACTGGCAATCTCGGCCGAGATCCTGAAGTGCACTCTCATCTGTGGGTTTTGATTGGTGGGCTGCTTCTCTTTTGAGGTGTTGATCCAGCGACTCGGTAATATTCTTCAGATCTTCTGTGACCGTCTCGATTTCATTATTTTCCTTAGATCCTCCGGAAGCTGAGTCGCGGATATCTTTTGCTTGCACGACTACCTTGTAGCCAAAATCGATAAACTGGATTATATTTGCTGCAAGACCTGCTCCAGAAATGGGATCCATTGCAGTCACCCTGCTGGCAAAAGAGAGGGTGATGACTGACGTCGTGGACCACAATTACGAAGCCCTAGTTATCATTCAAACCTAAGCCACCCTGTTTTTGCGCGTCATCCTTGTGCCCCGCTTTCCGGTCAGACAAACTCGGCTGGTTGCAGGGAATAAGAGAGCAGAGAAACAACAGATGTTAATAGCCCAGCAGGGAAATTCTATTGTTGAATGTTCAATATACCTATTTTCTCGAAACACGTGCACATATTGAACATAGCTACCTCAACATTTCTTCCTATTCACTAAACAAAGCGCTGCCCCTACGACACACTAACGCGACTTAGGGACCCTCCTTGTGCTCTCGAGTGTAGCGGGATAAGGTTATCCACAGTTTCCCCATACACTTCAATTCCAGTAAGGTTAACTGGATTGGAAGGAGATATACAGGACCTTAAACGATACTAATTTTTTTGTCTTTCAAATTTATTCCACCGGATAAGGCTTTGTTGAGGCGAAAGATGTATGGTATTGCATTCCTGGGACCGCCATGAGGACGAATAGTGACAACAAGCATGTTCAAAGCAGCGGACCGAGATCGCATCGAACGTACGGCACTCGTAAAGGAGGAAACCACTCTGACCTTCGCACTATATACCCTTATTAGACAGACTTCCTCAACTCGAAGATGGGACATTAGAAGCTGCATTTAGCAAAGTGGTTGGGAATATCAAAAGTATTGCACGCTTATCATGAGCTACCTAGTTTAAAGGATGTCTACAAAGCGTTCAGTCGGGTTCCCAAAGAATAAAATGTAAAGAGAACGGTAGGAGAGATCGTCAAACTGCCTTGTGCTGTATGACATGTTAACTTCGCCTCCCCGCATTCGGCCAACAAAATACGAATTCCGATCGTCCAAAAGGCACCTCGGCTCAACTACCATATAACATGTCATGGCCTATAAAAGTGTCATCACCGTGGGCTGTCAGCAGCTTTCTTTCAGTCCTTCCCTTCCGATCCATTCACCAGAACAATGGTAGCGAAGAAGTTTCAGTACCCTATCGTTGACGTCTGGGCAAATCCTCCTGGTGCAAGTAGCACACGGCTATATCCGACGCGCACCCAAACTAACACATGCATAGTTAGGTGCAGCAATCCCAGAAGTTGCGCGGCTTCTTGCACAAAGTCATTCAGACCCTGGAACCACTAATCAGAAGCGTTCACCCAAGGATGTGATTACCCTGATGGACGAAGCGGGTGTCTCGCACATCTGCATGTCGGCCTGGAGCCGGGCTGGGGAAACAATCTTCTCAAATGCGGAGGTCACAGAATATACTCGGGCCTATCCAGATCGAATCTTCGGTCTAGCTGCTGTGGATCTACATGACCCTGTGAGCGCGGTCAAGGAGCTAGAGCACTACGTGAAGGTCGAAGGCTTCGTGGGTTTGAGAGTCGTTCCTTGGTTGTGGAACCTTCCCCCAACCGACGCACATTACTGGCCTCTTTTCGTAAAATGCATCGAGCTTGACATTCCTTTCCTCACGCAAGTTGGCCATACGGGACCGTTGTGTCCAAGCGAGGTTGGTCGACCGATCCCATACATCGATGCAATCGCACTCAAATTCCCCGACCTCAGGATCATCATGGGGCATATGGGGTATCCTTGGGTGGCGGAGACTGTGGCAGTAGCATGGAAGCATCAAAATGTGTATATTGACACAAGCGCATGGTCGCCAAAATACTATGCATCGGAATTGATCAGATTTGCTAATACGACTGGACGGGAAAAGGTCATGTTCGGAACCAATTTCCCACAGCTGGGATGGAAGACGTGTGTTGACAATGTCAACGAGTATCTAGTGGGCACTAAAGACGGATTTAAAAGCAAGGTTGTGCAGGATTTCATGGGTGGAAACGCGATTCGTGTATTGAAACTGCCTTCTGTCAATTTGGGAAATCTCAAATCTAACCTCTGAGATTGTCATGTCATGTTTGGAAACAAATAGCTGCAAGTATATATACTTCTGTATTGGGTTTTGGGAAATATTCATTGGACGCATTGCGATTTATACGGCAGTATTCAAACATGTCTTATTCATGCCAGAAATAGTGCTTCCCGTTGAAATCCATGAGTAGACAAATAGCAGAATCAAATGTCGACACTGCTCATATCAAGCTCCCTAAGGCTGACAATTTTGTACTTCAATACGCACTTACGGTGAATACGATCGAGACAGCAAACCTATAAGTATGTTATACTATTCTATTGCAATTCACCCCCCCCCCCCAAAAAAAACCCCCACTAAGCAGAAACACATACTTCCGCATTCTATTCCCTCTCGCACCCCAAACCCAATTAACCCACGCGTAACTCAAAAATCTATTCTCACCATGCGTAATCCCATCCAACTTCTCTCTATCCTCCCAACCGACGACTGCCTGATGAAGATCGTTCTTCATATTCCTATCGACAAATGGGAAGGGTGATGATGGCTGCCGTGGAATGACAGACGAGAAGATGATTGTTACTTAAGGATGTTGGGGCTTCAAGCTAAGGATGCACGCGGCCAGATGCAGTAAAATGACGCGCCAGGACACGCCGGACCGGAGTAAAGCGTCCATCAGGTTGCAAAACTATTCAACTACTTATTAAGCACACTTTTCTTTTAGTGTCTTCAAATACTGTACTACCAATAATCAGCGGCTGATAATGATAACTGTCAATCAAACATTTGAGTGTAAACTGAAACATAATGAAACATAATGGCCGAACCTAGGAAGCGAATTTAGCGCGTCTTCACGTGTGTAGCTTGAAGACCCAGCAGGCTGAGATCCTGTAAACGATAGAAGGCAATCATAGACACAAACGGGCGCACATACTACAATGAGATGTAAGTAGGCTCTCGAGAAATTAGAGAATTGTTCCTTATGCTAGGATTAGGTGGTTAGAAATAGGTATTAAGTTTTTACCGTCCTTTCCTCTTAGGGCAAGCGAATTCTAGCAAGCAATATTGACAGTCCAGTATGTGTTTTGACATGCTAATCTAGAGGGAGTAGAGGGAGTAGAAGGAGGCACTGCGTAGCAAAAAACATACCATGACAGGTGCACTCGGACTAATCATCATCTCTAGTCCTGCCCCGTCCTTTGCAGAGCTATATAGTTGATACTTAACTGTTACCTTTTAGGATCTTAATAGGGATAAATAGAAACAAGGCAAATACTTTGAATGTAATGATCCCTTAGCTTAATTATTGTCTTACATAAAAGATATCAGCGAAGGCCGGCTTGGTAGCGTTGGACATTAAGTCGCCTCCTAGCAGGATATTGCGCATTGAGAGGCTACGAATCCTCAGGCGTGCGTTGACCAGTTGAGTCTCAAGAGTTTGGGTTGCCGCACTGCTGTAGTGCCAGGGTGTGGCGCTTTTTTGGGTTCGTTGCACGAACAAGAGGCTAGTGCAAGTAGGTGCAAGAAAACCCGTGGCAGATCAATATTCGTCTTTAACGAGCTTTATCAATCCGGACTCCGCTTTTACTGGCCGATTCACAAGATCCTACCCTTGCATGAAGCGAAGCGCCGGTCTGGTGCGAGCGTACCCCACTGCAGCTGTAGCCGTGCTTGTCTACGACGGCTCAAAAACACTCCCATACGCAGCGCAAATGTTAAATTTGCAGGTAAAAAGAGATCTCTTCTCTAATTGTTTCCAGAATGATATAGCTGAAATAAACATGGCCAATGATGCGTCCCGTGCGCTGCCCTGTGCACTTCCTCGACGCTGGATGTTAGCTGAGAAGAGCTGCAACATGCCGCCTAGCCTTTTCTCCAGAGCTCCATCTCTCTTCATCCTCCGAGCCCATAGTCCATCGGGATAGCCCACGCAACGATGGAGCGAGCGCTAACATACACTCTGGCTACCGAGCAGGGCGGAGAGTCAGACCCAGTCTTCACAACTGGTCTCTGCTTATTGTCTATTGATGGCGGCGGAGTTCGCGGTCTCTCAACGCTGTACATTCTAAAGGGCCTTATGGACCGACTAAATCAGACACGTAGAGCTAGCAGCCTCGCTCGTATGAAACCATACGAAGTCTTTGACCTTATCGGAGGCACTGGCACAGGATGGTACGTATCAAACCAATGCCACACTCACACCATCTAATAGCAGCAGGCTTATCGCTATTATGCTTGGCCAGCTTCAGATGGACATAGATGAGTGCATTTCAGCATACAACAAGCTGATGAAAGTCGTGTTCGAGGAAAAACCACACTGGGTTCCTCTGGGTTGGAGGGGCCAAATGAAGGCCAGTTCGACTCAAAGAAACTAAAAATGGCGATTTAAGAGGTAGCAGGCAGCAAAGGGGCCCCAGTGACAGACGCATTTAATGATGGGAAGAACTCTGGGTGTCGAACGTATGCCTACCGCGTAGACAGCCTGCCTCCTGCTGACATACCGCCAGCTTCGTCTGCTCCGTTGCGAAGGAAATCACCGGCGTCACGCGCTTGAGGAGCTACACCCTACCTGACGAGCGCAATATCCCTACTACGACCTGCGAGGCAGCCCTTGCGACGTCCGCAGCGACCGGCTTCTTTGACCCTGTTTCTATCGAAGCACGGTAGTTCGTGGATGGTGCGCTTAGTGCAAACAATCCTGTTGATGAGGTTGAAGGAGAGGCTGCAAGCATCTGATGCCCTGAGACGGGGGATCTAAAGCCTTTAGTTAAATGCTTTGTCTCGATTGGGACAGGGAATCCTGGCAAAAAGGTGATTGAGGATAACATGCTCAAGTTCCTCTCGAAAACGCTAGTTCGGATCGCGACTGAGACGGATGTAGAAAGGAAGTTCGTAGCTCGATGGGCAAAACATTTTGACAAAAAATGTTATTTCCGTTTTAATGTTGAGCAGGGACTTCAAGAAGTAGGGTTGGCTGAGTACAAGGAGCAAGGCAGAATAGAAGCAGCAACGGACGAATACCTCAGGCATTAGACTCAGAAGTTCCGTGTGCGTGACTGTACTCAGAACCTGAAACAGAAGCAAAGTGGGTACATCGAATACTTCGCCAAACAAACTAATCGCTATTCACAGGCTGACATGGTTTAGGGAAAGCAGGCATAAATTTCGCAGATATAGTAAATGTACGGTAATGGATTACGGTCTTAGCTTAGGGCTTATTCTATACAGGAGTATAGCATATCTATCAGAGGGCTTCGTAACAGTACAGTACATGTCCCTTTGAGTTGTTCTTGCTGATTGTTGTCCAGCCCCTCACGAGGCGTGATGGCACGTTCTATTCATGAGGAACCCGCGGTTCGTTGGTCGGGTCTCGCATCTAAATCGTCTCGAGAGCGTTCTTTTTACGAAAGACCAACCACAGAAGCTTGCAATCGCCGGACTAGGAGGCGTCGGCAAGACCCAGGTTGCACTCGAGCTAGCCTACCGAACGAGAGAAAGGTACTCAGAATGCTCGATTTTCTGGCTGTTGGCCACGAACCCCGACCGCCTGTACCAAGCATATCTCGACGTCACATGGCAGCTTGGCAGCTTAGCATTTACAGAACGCGCAGGCAGATGTAGAGCAGCTCGTACAGCATTACTTGAGCAAGGGGGGCTCGGGCCGTTGGCTGGTGATATTCGACAATGCTGACGATATGGACCTATGGCTACCTAGAAGTGAGAACTCCTGTAGCTTGATGGACTGCTTACCGAGGAGCCATCAAGGGTGTATCATTTTCACCACACGGAATCGGAAGATCGCTGTCACATTCGCACAGTCAAACGTGATTGAGATTTCGGAGATGGACGACAAGGCGGCAATGCAGCTGCTCAGTGAATCCTTGATCAACCAGAATCTCCTCAACTATCGCCAGGACGCGCTCAAGTTACTGGAACAACTTACGTTCCTTCCCTTCGCCATCCTGCAGGCAGCCGCATACATCAATAAGAACGGAACCTAGTTATCAGACTATCTGTCATTCTTAGCAGAGCAAGAGTAGAGTGTTGTGGATCTCCTCAGCGACGACTTTGAGGACGAAGGGAGATATAAGGAGGTCAAGAATCCGGTTGCAACTACATGGCTGGTCTCATTTGAGCACATCCGGCGGCACGACCCCTCGCGGCCGAGTACTTGTCATTTATATCGTGTGTAGACCCAAAGGATGTACCACAGTCGCTACTTCCTCTGGCAAAGTTTCGGAAGGAGATGGTGGATTCCATCGGAACTCTTACCGGGTATGGTTTCGTGACAAGGCGGGCGGATGGGGAGCTCGACCTGCATCAGCTGGTCCACCTTGCTACCCGAAACAAGCTACGAGGAAGTGGCCAGCTTGCGGCGGTATCGGCACGGGTAGTAGGACAACTAGAAGAGGTTTCCCCGACCAACGATCACAGTAATAGAAAGACTTGGAGGACGTACTTACCCCACGCGCAATATCTCTTTCAGTCAGGAGTGCTTCCAAGAAGCAGTGGAGATAGACTTGGGCTACTTGAGAAAGTGGGGTTGTGTCTGCTGAGCGATGGGCAGTGGAGCGAGGGTGAGCAGCTATTCATGCAGGTGATGGAGACGAGAAAGAAGGAGCTTGGGGAGAGCCATCTAGACACGCTGACCAGCATGGGAAACCTAGCGTCGACGTACTGGAATTAGGGGCGATGGAAAGAGGCTGAGCAGCTATCTATGCAGGTATTGGAGGCGAGAAAGAAGGAGCTTGGGGAGAGCTATCCGGACACGCTGACTGGTATACAAAGAACCATTCTGCCGCGACAGGGAGCCGTGAAAATCCCTACATTTCATAGATATGGCACTTTGAATCATGCCTTCTGGTTCTGAACGTCACCCACTCACCCCTAATGGCAAAAACCAAGACTTTTACTTACGAACGCGGCAAAGAGTTGGAACTGAATTCAAGGGAAAAGCTAGCTTCTTTTCCGCGTGTAGGGGCATGTAGAGACTAGCCACGTATTGAAGAAAAGGTATTAACCAAGTAAACTTACTATATTAAATATCATTTTGTATAGTCATATCGGCGTGCGTGTTTACCTGTTACTCGGCGGTCCGAAATTTTCGTTAAGAGGTATGAGCTGGTTGCTAGCTGCCTCCTATACAACACATATACATTATTGCCGATAGTTGAGGAGCATCATTGAAGGAATTGTATTGTCTAAATCAGTTAGTTTTTTGTCTAGAAAGGCAATAAGACAACCATGGCAATGGTCTAGTAAAGAAATATTATCTATGACGTCAAGGCACACAACGCAGGAGTTGAGAGCCGAAGACGACTATATTTGTGTAATTACCAAGTAGGAAGGTTATCACATATGTGCACAGATATGTAAAAACAGGCCACATTCAGGTATTTAAATTGTAAGACCCCCTCACCTAGAACCAGCGGTCCATCCACCTCCGACAGCACTACCATCCATACGTATCATACACTCCCTCCCCCCAAACTACAGCTTCGCCCCTGTCTGCGCCTTTTTTAAAATCGGCTCTGCCCTCGTCGCCTTCATAACGTCGCCTTTCACCTTCAACTTCCCACTCATAAACAGCTTCTGCGCATTCGCCTTGCCTGCAATTAGCTGCTGGAAATCCTTCTCACTCAACACCAACGTAACATTCGCCTTCTTTCCCTCGGGCGCAGTGCCCTTGCCCACGGTCCCGGTTTCTTTGAGGTCAATGTACCACGACTCGACCTTTTCGCCGTTTTTGAGTTGAAACGCAAAAATTGCGCCGCCTTTTTTTATCGCGTCTCTACGGTCTGACTCGGAGGTGGAGAGCGAGGCGGCGATGGCGTCGAAGGCGGCTGAGGAGGGGAAGTTGGCTGGGAAAGGTGGGTTAGCATGGCGGAAGCAATTCGTAAATCCTAAGACAGCTTTGGAGGCTAAGCCATGGGGATGATAGAATAGGAGGCTTGGGAGAATGGAGCTGCTGCGGTCCGTAGTTGTTGCGTCGTCATATGCTGACAGGTCGGGTCGACTCAGACATGGTGCATGTCCGAGGACTGTCGTAATCGACGTCCGACAGAGACGGCCAAAGGGACTTCTGCACCGACGGGTCTTGAAGGGCCGAATGTGCGGAGGGCCACCGATGGTATGTGCGAAAGTAACTGACCTGATTTGAGAGACATTGTGGCTATGTCCTTAAATGTGCTGATTGAACTTCTCGAACTTGAATGTTTGTGTTGGGTTGATTGAAGGGGAATCTAACAGTTTGAAGAGGCGATGAATATCTGAGAAGAAGGAGAAACGGAGAACTGGGCCACGGGGGATATTTGAAGCTTGCTTGTGATTGATGATGTCTGTCGGACCTTTTGCGTTCCCCGGATTTCATGTGAATGCGAGGCATTGCCAAGCCAGCTAATAGAAGCCTCGGCAGTGATGTCTGGTGCACGTGCTCCCTCATATTCACCGAGCTAACCGCATACAAACTTCGTGACTGGTGCTACTTAGAGGAAGACGGCCAATCGCATGGATGGTCAGTTGGGGACGCGGTGGGCTTTGAGAGAGTTTGCATGTTGAAGTGATATGGCTGAGTTAATGGAAGCAGGAAATTACATTTAGAGTTAACATAAAGATCGTAAAGGATCATCGTTAAAGGAGCGTATATACAAAAATCTTCGCTGTATCCAACATGGCAATCATCGTCGTTTCGGCCGTGAAGCATAAACATAAGGCGGGCAAATCAGACGACAGAGAAAAGGAAAACCGAGACCCAACCCAGATACTAGTACCATGGCCTCGACTCTGATAACATTGCCAGAGGAAGCCGGCACTTGCGCCATCCACCCATCCCACATGTCCAATACTCCAATCTCGAACCATGGCCACCGATATGCTTACTCCACCTGACCGAACCCGAGTCAGGGAATTGACAAAAGCGCCGACAGAGATTAGTACATGCCTGCCGACGACCCAACGCTCCTGGAGAACTCCAACTCCAATGCCCGCTTCGCGATGCGTTCCCGTCGTTTCCATCCCATTCAAACCTTAGAACCAGGTTTCCAGTTGACAGACAAGATACAGTAGTACTCCGAACAACACCCGACACCAGCCATGCAAAGCACCAAAAACACCCCCTCTCTTTATGTGAAGCCGGAGCAGAGGGTTGATCTTTTGCTCCAGCCCCACACTTTACTTATGGAAAGGAAAGATCGATCCCCTCAAGAACCTCTTCATATGCTCACCACCACTCCAAAACCCTTCCTTCGCATTCCTCTTCACCTGCGGCAACTTCGGTTTCGACAACCACCTCGAAAGCGTCAGCCCGCTGCGTCCCTTGGCCTCCTCTTCCTGCTCATGCTCTTCGGCAAGCAACGGACCCATAACTCTAGGCTCGATGTCCACAGGGGAAAGAATAATCGGGACATCCATAACCTCTTCCTGTTTCTCCTTCCACTTATCGCTGCCGGCGATATGGGTTAGAGGCTCGAGCGCATCATCCCAGTTCCCTTGTCTGAGCTTCACGTCCTCGAAGTTGAATTCAACGAGCGTGCGACGATGCTTGTGGATGAAATCCGCGATTTGCGTGGAATCCATGACAGCGTTCTCAAGCTCCATATGCCGAAGGCGGGAAAACCTGAGGGGTCGGGGACCACGGACGTGGCCGCGCATACTTGGATGCATGCACTCTTCTTCAATGGGCAACATACAGGGTTCGCGGTCCAAGGAAAGGGGCGAGGGGCCGCGTTCGCCTTTCCATCTGAAGAAGAGGCGCGTGAGGCTTTTCGAAAGGGTCCGGAGGTAGGCGTGGAGGATGCGCAAGTGTTCTAGAGACTGCATGCGTGCGCGGGTGGAAGAGCAGGAGAGCGGAATGCTTTCCATACAGATGGCCAGACGACGGATTTGGGTCCAGCGCTTGGCGGAAGTGGGTGTGCTGCCAAAACCAAGCATGGGATGTAAGTAGAGAAGTCCACCTGGGTGGATTGGAAGAAGTGAGAGGGTGTGAAGGCTGAACAAGGGCGCACGCTCGACCGCGATACGAAGGGAAATGAGCGCATAGTCTACAGCGCTACGCCGGTGCCGGGGCGCAGTATTGAAGCCAGGACAGGATATTTTGAGGTGTTGGAGGTTGACAAGTTCTGAGAAGGCCGTAATGAAAGCTGGGACGTTTGTTGCTGCATGGAAAAGAGGTGGATACTGTTTGATGAGAAGGTCTGTCATCTCCCACGTACCATATTTAGGTTGCTTGCCCTCTCCCCTCACAGCTGGCGGGACTTGGACCTGGGGTTCGTACAAGAACGGCTTCTCCTCCCCAGTCTCGGGATCAATGATGGGTGAGAGGAATGTCTCAGGCCCATGGGGCATGTGGAAGGTACAAGTCTTCACGTGACGGCCTACCCTGGAGAGAGCTTCGATGCGCGCCGGCTTGGTAAAAGTCGAAGGCTTGAATGTAACCGTAAGGTACTCAAAGAGATACGGTGCAGCACGGGTGGAGAAGTCGTGGCAGACCAGACGAAAGTTAGGCAGGTCCTCCTGCTCAACGTGCGCAAGTAGATTCTCGCGACAGGTATCGTTCAGCCAGAAGCGCAAGAAAGCGGAGCTCGTCGACAGAACCAGGTTGCATATTGAGCTATTGGATCTTGTCGCTGTATGGTATCAGTATTGCGGTCGTTCGTCGGGGATTGCGCATCTCACATCTCCCATCCACAGTAGTCGCAGGTGTCAGCGGAATCTCCCCAAACAGCAGCTTAGAGCTCGAGCGGCTGACAGTCGTGGTCTGGCTCGCATAACTGCTCTGGCTCTCGCCAGATACCGATCGCTTGAGCGACGGCGGCGATGGACGTTGCGCATACATACGTAATGGTGGTCATATAATTCGTAGTAGAAGAACTTTCAATCTCGATCGCAAGAATAAAAAGACGGAAACCTCAGGAGCATCTGGCATCGCGACTGGCCTACCTTTGGGTCCTATTTACCACCAGCGTGCGGGTGTGGGGATCGTTTACACGTGAGATGCAAGTGTGAGTCAAAGACTCAGAGTCTCTGGGGCTCGCTCAGCTGTGCGTCTTTTCTACGGCTGGATTTGGGCAGATAATTGAACAAGAATCGCGACCATATCGCGGTGCGCGGTCGTGTCTTTAAGTTCTCGACGTGATGAGTGGTTTGTTTCTGGGCGGCGGCTGGAGCCTGATTCAGGGTTTGAAACGTTTCCCAGCGGGCAGCCTATCGGGTGAATGTAAAGCCTGAAGACGGCCAGTCTCTCGTGCAGTAGTCTATGCGGGAGGGTGGAAACTGCAGTGCTTGGCTCCTCTCACCGACCATCCCCGCTTCCCAGCCACACGACTCTCGTCGAATCCAGTATGCCCGTCGCGTGCTGGAGGCCACAGACGCGGCTGGAGGTGCAACTGACGAAACACGATTCGAGGGGATACAAACAAACATGTCCATATCTGCGGCGTTCGCGTCTTGTTTGGGAAAGAGGACCATGGAGCTTGAAACAAGCTCAGTAGTTATCGATAACTAGCCCCGGTCATCGATAAGTTGACACAGATTGGGCGCGTTTCAAGCTGCTGATCGAGTTAAAACACCAAAACATTATCGTGAACTCCTAACGTGGCTACAACGTGTACTCCAGTTTAAGCATCGCCTTGAAAACTCTGCAAGTAAATCTAGTTTGAGGAAATATTGCAGAGAAAGGAAGTTATGAACCAATCAACAAAATTCAGGACACGGCGCACCCAAAGGAACGCGCCTTACCTACGTCTCGCGAACCGCAACGCGCTTGCATACCTCAACGCTTCCGATCCGCGACGTTGCTGACCGGAAAACTATACCAGCTCCCTTCACATCGCAAAGTCTTGGAATATGCAGTTGAGGCATTTTCACTCGCAGACCTCGACGTGCCTTACGGCGCAACCCGACGAATAGGCAAGGTGTGATCAAAAATATTATCGTGATTGGATGGCTACCTCCGCTTTCTTAAAACATGAAGCGGTGGGAGTTGAAGTGTTTCAACTTTCCCATTTTCCTGTGGATCCCACGCGCTTCTCATGTCGTCTTCGAAACGTAATTAAGGGTAAGGGCTGATTGGAAGAAATGAAAGTCTGTATGTCAAACTGATGCAGCTCCCCTCCTTTGGAAGCGCCTGTTGGGTTCGTTGAAGCCAGTTCTACCCAATGCCCAATGCTCCTGGCTGCAAGGAGTGTCCTTTGCGAATCAAGCGCCAGTCACCTTTAGATGACAGAGCTACATTCTTGATTACACGTTTATGAGACCCTCATCTCCTCTTCTCATCCGAAAACCTGGGCGCCCCTTCTGGTACAGGCGGTGGCTGGTAGTTACCCCGATACCCATTGATCGGCGGAAGGTCCTGGCCTATTGCATCTTCATAGCTCGGTGGTGCATCATCATAGACGGGCTGCGCTGATCCACCGGCCATAGGCACGCCTTGCGCAGGCGGGAACGCGTTGGCGCCAGAGAATCCTGGTGGATCGATGGGCGTGTGTGGTGGTTGATCTTGTTGAGGGGGACTAAGCGTTGCGCTAGCTGACGGCTTAAGCTTGCCAGCCTCTCCGGTTAAGGTGGCCTCAAGGAGAGCGGGCGGCGGGGCGATTCCAGAGTATACTTTGACTGGCAGTCTGAGGGGCAAGACGACTAGTTGATCTTCTCCGTGTTTGTAGGATCCGTACCCAAGACCGACGCGCACCTCAAGCTCGTAGTATCGCTGGAGGTTACAGGTCTGGAAGGTTGGACAAATCGTATTTGGAAGGGGCTTGCCAGACCAGTATTCTGGGTTGATTGGCACCTCGGTTCCCACCGGATCCATGGGATTGCCCAGCGGGATGTTCATATTGCTGAAGCTGGCCACTATCCAGCTGTTTGACTCAGTGCGTTCAACTCCGTGTGCGGTGACTTTGGTGTACCCGATTAATTCGATCTGCAACATTTGTAGGTATACATTCTTAATCCGCGGGCTCATATTCTTGAGGAGGACCCTCAGCGGGAGATCCTTGTTACATGTGAGGATTGCGGGATTCGGCAGACGCGCATCAACTATGAATCGCGGAGGCGGGCCGCTTGAAGAGGGAGTTGAAGGTATGCTGCTGGAGGAGGAGGAATCCTTTCTATCAAAGAAGCCCTTCTTTTTGCCCGCTGCAACGCTAGGCGGGTTCTCCAAGAACTGGTGCTGCCTCCTAGCGTATGCCTCCCCATCAGTCTGTGTCGGTCTTGGAGGCTCAATGGGAAGAAATGTAAGGTTGGCCAACTAGCTCCGATTAGCTTATGTGCACCACTTAGAGCCCTGGGTTGAACTTACCGCTCTTGGATTCTCTTTAAACAACGACGGTCGATTCACTGTGACCTTCACATAGTATCTTATTTCCGCCTCGCCGGGGAAACCGCTGAGAGAAGGAGGAAGGGTCTGCTTAACGTGATGGGTTGGGGTCCGGGCAACCTCGAGTGCCATGTTGCTGAAGTTGACATTAGTAGCGAGGCTGTTCACGGGCTGGCAAGCGTTGTTCAATGGAATCTAGATGAAGTCAGGAAACATCACCCCTTCGACTGTTCGTTGGAGCTGACCTTGAACTGGAAGGGATATTCGAATTGGCCGGCGTTCAGCGTATATGTCGCCTTCGGGTTCGCGACTGCTTCTTCTGGAAGCTGGTTCGCAGGCCACACGACCTGAGTTTTGTACAAGATCTACAATGCCTATCAGAACCTCCATAGATTGCGGTTGCACTGGACGCGCCATACCTTATGGACCTCAAGCACTGGCTTCTGTCGGTCGGGCCTATCCGGTCTCACAGCCGCCAGTAACCTCGTCCTGCTCTCGCCCTCTAACTTGACCACGATGTTCGAGACATTGCTCGGATTCGGGACTCTCAGATAGATCTTCCCCTGCACAACATCCAGGTTGGTATAGGCGGAGTGCGGGTGTTCTAGACTTATTGAAACGAGCATCGCTATCTATCGCTGCTGCTGTTGATGGTTGCTACGTGAAGTTGAGGTTTTGCCTGATGCGCAAGGTGGGCGACATCTCAACTCATTTATTACCTTGTTCTTGGAGCTCTTGCGATTATTCGCCGGGCTGTTTGTTTAGGGGGACGACTATTCTGTTTGGCACAGCCCGGAGACGCGTGGTCGTTAGATTCCCAAGGGCTGAGAAAAGAAGTGTGATGCAAACAGGCTTGGAAGTGAACGGGAGATTCTTCGGTGTGCGGCGGGGCAGTAACTCTTCACAAACGACTCACGTCACAGGCCAAGCTTCTGCTCCGGATTTTCGGAACAAGCTCTCTTTCATATTCAAGAATATTCTACACATGCTTTGTCCTCATTATTGTGAGTAGTACTATCTAAGATCTCGATTTTTACATATTGCAACAACTAGCCGCTTAAAGGCGCCATTCGCCCGAAATGGTCCAAGCTGCACACAGCCACAGCCACAGCCATACAGGGGCTCCGTCGTGGCATCCTCATTTCGAATGAACAGGAACAAACCCTTGCTTCTAGCCGCTTATAGCGAGGCGAATTCGCACGCCTCTTGTGACGCAGGTGTGCTCGCTGTGCCGGTCTTCATTTCGCAAACATGACGCGGTCCTCCGGTTTGCGTTTCAGGGGCTGAAGTCAGTAATCCCCAGGTCCTTCAATTCGGGGCCGCAGAATCGGCGAAATTACTTAAAGTCCTTCCTTGGCCAGCATGTCTTTGATGTCAGAATATGTCAGCTTCTATAATGCAACAATACAAGGCGCAGCGAAGCCTACCTGCTATGTCCAAGTAGAAGGCGATTGCATTGAAACTGCGCCTTTGGTCAATTTTGGCATGTGAAAAATTGGATCGGCCGACTCACTTCCTTTTACTTCCTGTAAGTTCCCAAAAGAACCACTTCAGCCTATTCGTCCAATTGATGAGGTCTAGATGGCTGACACCGATTAAGGTACCTTGGTATTGGCCCCATTGGCTTGAAGATACGCTAGAAGAATTTAGCATTTGAAAGGGCATCATTAGGGCTCGACAGTACCTGACCATTCCATCATTTAGACCGCCTTCCATACGTTTGATGATGTTGTGGGAAATCCCGAATACAGACCAGGATGAGGGTTCAAGAGAGGCGCCGTAAGAGTAGTACCTTTACTAGTGTAAGCAGCACAACTGAAGGTTGAGTCGCTGGACAAATCTACCTGATCCCCTCTACGTCTGGTGTCTTCGGATTGAATGTCTCCTGCATGTACTGACGAGTCAACTGGGAGAAAGCTTCCGTCTCGAATCCGAAGTACCCTAGAACGTTGTATATCCTTTTGATTTGGCGAGCTTGCACGGTACATTAGCAGAGTCTAGATTGGACAAAGAACTGAACGTACGGCTAATGGACTCGAACATATAGTCTGCAAATGCAGAACCTCGGTGGGGAGTGGCAATGGTCGTGAGCGATAGCACATTGAAGTCTGTAGGTCGAAGCCGGCTGAGCATGTAGCGTGAATCAAGCCCTCTGAAGAATTTCAGCACTGCCAGTGGATTGGAGGAAGGCTAGATTTACCCCTACATCAAAATCAGTAGGTGGCATCGAAGGTCACGTCCGTCATACCATACTATGGCTATTGGAGGTCAGTAGAACTCGACCAAAATCAATTAGAATACAACGAAACAAAAGTTTTGCAATCAAGGGATGGAGGAAAGTCAGAGTACGTAAAAATGAAGCAATCTAGGCAACTCAAAGCAAGACGTTATACTTACGCAATAATGTTCACATCCTTGCCCTTGACTTGCCGGCCGATGTTCTCCGCAAGCTTCTCCGCCCTAGCCTCTATCGACCCCGAAGGCGGCACAGCAGCCGTGAATACTTCTATTCCTTTGTGGGATAGAGCCTCAGTTATCCCGCGCCAGTATTTGATGCCGGGCATCACAGACCCAGCTAGACGTAGCTCATCAAAGCCCAGAAGGCCATGTGCAAGGACAATGGAGTGTTTCGGAGTTTCTCAGTGCTCTTTAATACATGCACGATCGATTAGATGGCTTAAACTCACGATAGTGGTTCCGTATCACCGAAAATTTGTCCTTAATGACGCGTCCAGTATTCTGTTGGCGAGGATCATTGCGGACGAGTGAGGTCGTGCTGAAGTTATGAACAGATAGTGAAGACTGTGGAAATGAGCGAGACCTCTCTCGAAGGACAAGACGTATCATTTGATACGTTTGCAAAGGCATGTTGAGAAATGTAGTCTCGAAGTTTAAGCTGTTCGGTTAGGACTTTCGCGATCGCGTCGGTGACGTAAGTGTCTGGGCAGGGATTATCAAGATGTGGATCACCATACCGCTTAAACAAGCATCCACAGGCTCGTACGCAAATTTGCGTAATTCTTCACTAGATGAAATCATACCTGTACCGCTAGTCTTAGAGCCAAAAGGCAATTGTCACGAAGATTAGTAAATCCTGTGGATTATGACTGGCATCTATAAGTCGAAAATTTAAACCAACTCAAGCGTAGGAAACTTGGGAAAGAATTCAGATAGCATTCATTTAGCCAACCGTAGCCCATTGATGATAGGTGGGCCACATTCGAGAACTGTATGAGCTTGCACAAGGCCCTCTTAAATATGTGAACCCTCCGGCGGATGCAGGCCTGTATTGTACATGCTTGGATTGAAGTTGGCAACTCCCAAGATACGCAGCCTCCTGGGTTCTTCGAGGAAACAAATGCGCCATGAAGCTCACCTAGGAGGCTCTGGCTTGATGTTTGTGACGGCTGCAAGGAGCTGTTCGACGACTTTGCTCCCGGACTTCTTCCCTATGGCCTCGATCTCTTTGACCTTGGCTTCAGCCTCCTTGTTTGCATCTTCCTCGGCTTTCTTGTTGCCTGAACTATGCTGTGGGATCGTCAGTCACGGTTCCACCAGGTGTCGAAAAGCCGTGAACAACAGACCTCCTTCTCGAACTTCTTGAACTCCTCTTCCTTTTCTTTCTTGTAGTCGTCGATTTCCTTCTGAGCCTCGTTTCTAGCGTCCTTTACTCGCTTTGTGCGGTCTGAGGAGAGTTAGAGGCACAGCTAGGGGTCGGGTGTAGATGAATTACATTCTCTTGCTGATTCTGGGGTTAACCAAAGTCCACACATCACCTGGGGGGTGGGGGCTAGTACATACACTTCTGGACAATCTTCTGGGCTTCTCGTTCGGCCTAGGCAGCAGAGTGAGCTCCAATCCTGGCGAAGTGGGCTGTGTGCCTTACGTCGAGGAGAGTTTGGATTCCTGCAGAGTTTTGGGCCGACTGGAGCATGTTAGCCTTCCGATACGCTCCTAAGATACACGATGCTCACCATGTTGGAGGGACTAGAGGTTGAGTGCTGGGGCAGTCCGTTATCGTAGAGTCGAGGCTGCGGGCTGCTCCAGAAGAAGCACAGAGCGACATGGCCTTGGCATTTGGCCCAAGCTCCTTCCTGTCGAAACTTTTCCCGGCTTCTATGGCTCCTTCCCTCGCAAACGACCACCACCTTCCGCCCTTCGTCGACATGTCACGCGCTTCCAAGATTACACTCGCAGCGACCTCACTTGGTGCAATTGGCATTGTCATATTTGTTCACCGTGCGCAGCGCGTGGAGAAGGCTGTAAGTAGCCCCTTCGCCGGATACATGTTCCCATCACCGACAGTTGCAGGCCATGCATGCTGGCGTCGTCCGAGATTACGAGCAGCAGCGGGTAAAGAGGGAGCGGCAAGCAGACTTCGAGATGCAGCAGGAATTGGAGAAGGAGTACAGGAAGATACAGACAGTCTCAGATGGCGGAGGTTCGACCGCACAGGATTCTGGACCAAGTCAATAGCAAGGCAAGACTTAACGAGAGGGCATGCCGCGCCTTAGCCATCCTCTGCCGAATGCGGGGAGAGAACTACACATCATAGTGTCCCCTGTCCGTAGCCACCACCCTCAGGAGTCCAGCCTCAGCCTTACAGAAACGCCTCAGCCTGACCTCGATTCGGTCTGTTCAGCAAGAGAGCCTCACTTGGCAACTATAATCCTCCGAGCAGCGTGGGAATCCATTAGCGGATGCGCTGCAGTTCTCGGCACTTGCAATGCTCGTTCCAATTCGAGTGTCAGCCTCGGACTTCCAATTTTGGATGAAATGCTTCATCGAAGCTGCCTTGTCAGGAAGTCAGGAAGTCAGGAGACAGCGGTCGCGATTTCGAGGCCGCAATCGAAACGTACTGTCGTCGCTATGTTTCACCGTGGGCTGTTTGCGAGGAATTTGTGGGGAACGTGAGGGTCCTGCCGTCGATAGATCCCGCATGTGTGTAAGATCATGCAAAGCAACTAAACTTTGGGAAAATCCATATTGATCCTTCTGCGGTTTCATCCGCACCAGAGACCAGGTAAATCCTAGTAGCGTCCGCAAGGCTGAAGACTCTAGCATGTTTCAGCCTTGCGCGTCTGTGACCCTTATGCACCACCGATCCTTTATCGGCTCAGCCAAAATTCCTTCGCTCAGAGCCTTCTTTCCCTGACTTTTACATAATATCCACGGACAAAGTGGAGGGGAAATAATAATCTTCTCTCTGCAGCGTCCTGCCACCCTCAACGGGATGTTGTGCTGTGGCAAGTCAGTCCGTTCATGACTATCTTATCTCCGACACTGCGTTCCATGACAGCCTTCGATCTGCCACGCAATGGTATTTTGGAAAAGGATTCGGGCTTCGCACTCTTCTTGAGTCCCCAGTCCAGAATTCCATTACTATATTGAAGTTGAGCATGATTGCGTCCAATTGCTGCGTCCACAGGTGGATGCATTGCCTGCGATCACGTCCTGCTTCGTGCTTTAGTCAACAATCGGACCAAATCGACTATTCAGAAGTTGTTTGGAGAGGTATATCGTCACGAGGGCGTTTAAGTGGCAAGCGCTATGAAACCATTCTCTTTGTCGGCATCTGTGAGGAAACTTCAACAAAGGGGTGTCCACACCGTCCGGTCACGCTCACGGCAGTATCTCAAAGCCAAGAGAGAGTTCGAGGCACAATTTGATAACCGTGGCTGAATGCCCGTATTTAATACCTTTGTTGGCCGGAAGCGTCCTTGCGCCACTCTGTACCACTCTCTCTAATTGGCTAGATCTGCACAGCCCTTCCTCGGTTAAAGACTTTCACCCTGCTACGCCTGCCAAGTGCCCGCGCTGTTTCCACCTGCGCTGGCTGAGGAAATGTCAGGGCTACCGACGGAAATCACATACAAGAACTCCGCTTGTCCTTCCTCACTCCCACCCAGTTTCGTGCTTTTCACGACGTTACACGAACGGCTTCCCACAGCGGAAGCCTTAAATTAACCTATATTTGCCTGCTACCCCCACGCGCATAGGAGATCCATTTGCCACAGCTCTTTGCATAACCTTCCTGATCAAGCACCCTTTACACAGCAGCAACACGATGAGACTATCGCAATTCGTCGCCGGCCTCCTCCTCACAACGTCCACGGTCAATACCGTGTCGATACCAGAAACAAACGCCCTGACGCTTCTCGAAGACCATGCTGCAACCGCTGCGAGATCTAATATCCTTTCGCCGGAACACGCGCTAGAGAGGCGAAAGGGAGGCGGAGGCAAAGGCGGTGGCGGAGGTAAGCAATGCAAACCCGGGCCTCGTCCCCGGGGACAGTCAGGCTTTGCTAACACGTTTCAAAAGGCGGCGGAAAGTCTGGGGGCGGTGGGAAGTCTGGCGGTGGGAACGGCGGGGGCGGGAAGACCAGTTCCACTTCCAACACTGGCGGACAGACTAAGTCCGGGTCGGGTGCACCCCGTGCCTACGGGGGAGGCGGCTACTATGGAGGAGGTTCTGTAGTGCCATATGCGGCAGGCTCAAAGACACCAAGGGGCCTGGTCGCTGGGGGGTTGCTCCTGCCTGTCGCCGCTCTGGCCCTCTTCCCAGGAATCTGGCTGTGGAGCGTCTATCCGTATTACCTGCATCCTTACAGGTTCCTGAATCAAACTGTTCAGAACGCCACCAACGGACTCAACCAAACACTTCAGACTATCTGCCTATGTCAACAATTTAGCGTCTGCGGCTGCGACGACAACGACAACTCTACGTACCTGAACGACCTCATCGGCAATGGTAGCTACGCTGCGCTAAACAAGTCGGTGGTCAACATTTATGACAATGGGACTCGCCATCTGGTTATCAACGGCACTTTGCCTAACGGCACCACCGCATCTGGTGGGACTGATTCAGCTGCGCCAGGACTCGCTGTGCAGTATTCCGGATACTGGCTAATGGGAGCCATCTTCCTCTATGCTGCCGCTGTCTTGTGATCTTGACGATCTTTTTTTTTCTTTCATGTCAATACGTTTTTATCAGTCCGATGCCCAAGCACCTGCCTGGGACAGACTAGATTCAAGCTGATTTCTCGAACACGTTATTACAAATTGGAAGGCGGTTAGAAGCATGCAGTCTTCCACTCCGGTCTTCGAGCGGCAGTAGGGTCCTGCTACGTCTCCCAGTGTTCCTCGGATGAGATCTGAGTTGGAGTCTTGGCGTTGTTTTACTCAACTGGGTGGTCTGGACGTCTTTTTCTGGATACCCCCAAGTAGATCAATTAGGCGTTTAATCGATTCTTTTATTTGTCGAATATATCTTTCTTAGATGTCATTATTTCGGATGCTGCGTAAACACGGGTTTCGCCCAATTTCGCCCGATGCTGGCATTTACGCCCGATACTCTTGCATTCGCTATTCTTGTATTCCTTTGAGTCATGATCATAATCGTCCTTATTTCCATGTTTATCTGGAGTGGAGCTGTGCCTCGTTGACCGCTACTTTGTTGTGCCAAGCCCTCGAATCAAGGACTTTACACAATCTCCGACCGCACCACAATGCAAACATGTCCGATGCTCGATATCGGTGTGCCGACCGTATAACCATGCGCCCTTTGCGGTATACTGCCCGCTCACGTGAATCCCGAATTCTTGCATTTTTTTTCTCTGCACTAGAATACTTGGGACCAAAAACCCTGGTCATCAACTCCAAGTCAAACAGCCGTATTCTTTACCTACTCACTGATCCCACCATTACCTCAAAGAGTCTGCATTCTTCCCATTCGCTGATGCGTGGTAGGTGCCAGCATTGCGTCCATCCTATCCTCTTCTCCATGTCTCAACATGCAATGATCCCTCAGCATACCTTCACAGCGGAAAGGATGTCAAACATTAGGCTCAGCTGAGAACTCAAGTTTTCGTCACGAGCGGGAGGATGCCTCACCGGTATTCCTGTCAAGCACAGGTTGTGGGGAGCCGCAGCAGTCAGAGGTCACGATGATATTTTTACAAGGACGTAGCGTACTGGTCAGTCGAGGAATTATTAACCTCGAGTGGTAAAAGCTCGGGTTTCCAAGCCTTCAGGAGACCAGATTATAGGCATCATCGAGTCTGCCTTATTGCTATTCCATTGCGCCTTCAGACCATCTGGGGGCCGAAATCCTGATGACACGCAGTGCAGACGTGAGACAACACTTCCTGAAACAAGTAATGATGTCGATATTGCAGCTTTTCTCTGAACACCCACCCCTGAGGGCGATTTGTGTAATCGGATGGGTGTGTAGACACGCATTGAGATGGAAAGGGGTGCGCGTTTGAGCAGAGAAGGTGTGAGACATTCGGACCGTAGCCACGTGGGACCAGAAAACGGGAGGGTGCGTAGGGCTGCATATTTTCGACGCCTTCGGTAAGCTGACAAGACCACAAAGTGCCAGTTTGGGTACCGTAAAGATCCGGAGTGAGATTGTGCAGCATGCCCTGGGGAAATCCAGCGATTCTAGCGATTCCCAGGCGGATCATTGTGTGGCGGTCTCGAGAGGATCTCCGACCGCCGTTTCGTGTCCGTGCAGGCGACCGTGTGTCTATGCAGTCCCGACGCGGGTGTCGAGAAACGAGAAAGGGCACTTGCTAGTCTTGCGTGTTTGCGCGGTGTGAAGTTGCTCGTAGGTGCTCAGCTGGTCAGCGGTCAAGCGCTGGATTGGAGGAAGCGAGCTGCTTTGATCAGCGGAGCGCAGGATCCAGAGCCCTTTCGCTCCCTCATCACATGGAGGGGTGCCTTCCTCCGCCCTCCCCTCGTAGGTCGATGAAAATTGCTATAATCACATTCCCAATTCTTGTCCGGCGTTTATCTGGTGGTGGTTGACGTTGACTTTTGGGGTGTCCGTGCCTATAATTAGCCAGATTCAGTAATTTAGCGAGTAGCGGTCACGTTTTTAGTTCCCTACCACGGCAGGAGAAGCTGCTATCTTCCCCCACGTATCTCTTCACCCACCTCGCCCCGTCGTGGATTAGCAAGCCTTCTGTCTCAAATTCGGGCCAAGCCCTCGGGCATTCCTCCCGTCCAGCCATGGGCGCGGCAGCCGCTGCCGACATAAAGGCCTGAAACGCTGCGCTGCCAGCCTGCAAAGACCACAGCGTGGGAGAGAAAGCGACCATGACGATGATGAGTAAAGCATCTCACTGCGCCCCATCTTTGCCGCATTGAGCGCTTGCCCTCTATTCCAAGAGAATGGCTGACCCCGAACCGCCGGGCTGTCAGATCGAGCAGAAGATTCTCTGAGATCGTGGCTCTTGGGTTGTACAAGGGTTCTTTCATGGCGCAACTTGCGCTCTCGAGCCCTGCGGCAGTAATGAAGGCAAGCAGGGCACGAAGCAGTGCAATACCGGAGCTCCACGGGCGAACTGCGCGCTGCATGCGCGCCCGTTGACCACGCAGCTGCTGGTGCTGCTGGGCGCTCGACCGTTCGGTGAAGGAGTCGTTGTCTCGACCAATCGCATCCTTGATGCAGTGATCTGCCCTCAGCTGAAGAGCCTCTTCACATCGAACCACACCCTGCCGCAGCCGAACGGGACCGTGCCTGCGGTCTACCCACCTCTACCTGTACATGTCGACTAGCAGTCATTATGGCTGTGCTAGTTCCCTTTTGCTGCCCCATCTTAGCAGCATCTGTGCTGACTGTGCACCTGTTCCTACATATGGATTTCCGTTGCCTGACTGACCTGCAGCATGCACAAACGGCATGCTTCCTCCTTCGACCCACACTTCTTCCTCCTCTCTTCTTTGTCCTGTCTCCTTTCAACTATATATTCTAGCTTCCTCTCCACCCAGGATCCCCATTCTAAACCAGCAACCCCTCAGTTTCTGAGTCTCACTCACTACAAAACTATCATTCAGTACTTTACATTGCTAGCGCCTGTCTCAGCACCGTTGACGGTCTTCTACTGTACTTCGTTGTCCTGTTCTCCTGCTAGCGTTCTGCCAACTCCCCTTCAAGATGTGCTACCAAGTTGTCGAACGCTACTCGGTTTGCCGGTGTCTCTACTACAAGCACGCCATCGACCCGTGTGCTGCCCACGGACAGCGCGGCCATATTGTCCAAGAGAAGACGGTCCTCGTCGGCTACGCATGCGCAAGCCACAGCAGCCACCGACCCGAAGCTGTGTTCGATCTACAGAATGCTGGCGTGCTCCCAGATTCTGGGTACGCCAGCGGGACATACCCCTCAGCTCGACGATAAACCGCGCAGAATCTCTCCATGGCGCATTCCAGCTCTACACAAGGAGGGCCGCAACAGCGCCGACCTGAAGCCTACCATTCCAACTCAATTTCGGATACACCAAAGCTATCACTTCTTCGAGCCGGACTCACTGGGATGCTGGACACCATTTCATAGGGTGGGGTTTTTCATTTGTCTTTTGATTGCTGCTCGGGCATCGATATGGAGTTCTGATAACGATTATGGGCTGGAATGGCTAGGATGATTGGGACGATATGCATACGACTGTAGTGTTGAATGCCGCATTAGCTGTACGATCATGGGATGGAACCGCATCGCAATCAGGTCATGGGAAACGGACTGCATGGATTTGGAGTTATTGGCTTTCTTCCCCCCCCCCCTGCTTTTCTTGTTCCTTTTTCTTGTCTTTTCTTCTGCAGTCTCGTGCGCTCAGTGGGATTCTGGCCACCTGATGTCTAATATCGCGGAGCATTTACGCCAGTTCCGAGTCTGCCTTGCGGCAGGCTGGGCTTTTCCCCATTTAGTCTTGATACGTCAGAATATACGCTCACTGTCTTTATTATTGATTCTCATGTCGCGATGTGCAGAGAGCGCGCGTCGTGCAATACCGAATTGACTCATGGTGGATAGTGAAGGACTCTGGGAGACAGCGCGGGGTGAAGGGTCTCGCTCGACAGGGCTCAGCTGCGCGGGTCGACGTCATTCACGTTCTGGCTCTTCGCCTATTTTGCTTCTTTCGTTCCCCCCGTTGGCGTTAGCGCGCCTTGGACCCATCCCGAATCGCTCGGGGCTGCCGCATCACCGCCAGTTCGACCTGCCCTCCCCATCGTCACTCCTCACGGCACTGCGCTCCCGTCGGTGTGAGAGCGGGAGTCACATTCACACTGCCCTCATTATCAGGCTGCCGCGCTCTTCCACTGCTTCTGTGACAAATTCCGGCACTGCCGCGGCGCTGCTCTCCGCTAGACTGTCAGGCATTCCTCTCACTACCTGTCCCCAGATCTTGCTTCGACGATAAAGTGCACATCACCAGCCTTGCGGTGGCGACATGCTTTTCTCAGAGTTTCAGACCCGCTGGCCTGATTGATGAAACAAAGTGGCAGCTGGAGAACCGACTCTTCCGCACCGGCTGGTATCGCCCCTGTCGGCGCCGAGAATGAGCCTTTGCAGGGCACAGCGCGTTTTCCCGGAATCGACTTAGACTAGGACCGCGCTGGGATTGCTGCCGCCGTCTATTTTGGGGGCGATATTGGCTTGCTCACCAGCATTCGAATCTGTTACAGTACTCTCTTCGCGGAGTCCACGTATGAAGCACACGCTGCCAGCGTCCTCACTCACCTTTCGCGGCGTCCAGCTGCTCTCTTCACTGGTTGGTCGTTTCTATTAGTTCTCTAACAGTCTGATTATTTCGAGGCACCCCGCTGCGTTCGTGCCTCTATTCTATTTCCGGTTCCTGTCATCGCCCTTAGCGGCCACAGCGGCCTGTCCGCCATCCAATTGACCACTGCCCTAAGCTACGACGAATGTATATGCCCCTCGCTTCAAAGCTTGGTCTCACATTTAGAGCAGCATGCGAACGCCTTCCACTCGCATATCTTGAATCAGAACAGCGTGGCTTGCGCACCCTCGCACATTTCTTTCAACTCACATCTCCGTCCATCTGCCTGCACTTCCTGCAGGATCTGGTTGCGTACTCCGTATTCATTCAACCCATTGATGAGGTATAGGCCGGCAAGCTGAGATCCCGAAATCTACATGGTCGGGTGACAGTAGTCTTGAATGGGTTTCAACCTGTAGGTTGGGTAAGAGAGCAATCCCATGCTTCCATGCAGTGCAGCGCATCATGCAGGTTGCTAGTGCATCAGGGCAGCAACCCAACTCCCGGACTTTGGATCCGGCTTCAGCAGTGTCTGCATGCAAGGTAATAATGTCGTCGAACTAAGTTCCTCCGTCGCTGTTACAGTATGATCCCGCTTCCATCAGTGCTCAATTGCTAACGAACTCAAGGTAACTCAAGGCTCAAAATATCGTCCTCAAATGGGGAGCTACCAAAATATCTTGTACCTTTTCTCTACGCCCCAAACTTTCCACAGAATGTTTCAATCGGGGATTACCGTTGGCATGATGTCCGAATTAGTAAGTGGCTGTGCTGTGAAGGATTCGGCGGCGACGACGCTGCAGCCACTACAGGGCCTCGTTCAAATGCGACGATTTCACAAAACCTCCTTCTCCGGCCTTCCAAATCTTGCGGAATAATTAATCCGTGAGTATACATCGCGCGCTGTCTTTACTAGCCAATATCAATTAACGTGCATACGATGATTTGGGAACGAACTGCGAAGGCATTTATGCACTTGTCGTTAGCGCATATCTCAGAGTTGACGGCTTTCAGTGACGACGGAATGGGTTTCGTTCCTTCTTACTTGTTCTAGTGAGTTCACTCTTGGAGAACAATTAAATAGGACCATGGTGCTTCACTGCTTCAGCAGACTATCGCAAGTAGAGTACAAAGATTCTCATTCTTGCTAGTTGCAACTCTTCTGCCCTAGTATTCACGCTGGTTAGGCGGATTGAGTCTCTCCATGGCGCAGTACTAGGTTTAATTCCCTCTCGCATGCCAAAATGCTCCAGCTGCGCCGCATGTAACCATATCGCACGAGTGCAAGCTGACCTCGCTCTGGTAGATCTTCCATCTTGGCCAAAACTTCACATCCTGGTTAATTGCAATCCGCAAATAACAAGGCAACATCTCTGCGGTCTATCCACGTAACTCGCTTGCGCATGAGGTTGCTGTCCTCATCATGTGCTGTGCAACCTCTCGAGTCCTCCCCTGACCCCATAGCTTGCATCCATCCTTCTTCAACTTTGATTGAGAATATGTGTGCCACGGCAACATGTCATTTCCTTCCAGGCAACAACTCAGGTTTGGGAATTTCCATCAGAATATGGTCACGTAGCCAATCGAAGACACCGCCCCGAATTACGTGAGCGTTATATTGAGGCCCGGACCTACGCGAATATCAGCTTAATATCCACCCCACTTATCTGGCAGGAATCCCGCAGCAGGCCCCAGAACTCGGATCCCGTCATAACAGCATAGTTTCGCGGACGCTTGAGTAGATTGGGGATGGCTTCCGAGGACTTCGAGTTGGATGGTGGGAGTCCGGGACGAGGCGCAGTATCTCGCAGCGGCCCGATGTAATCCACCATAGGAGCTAGGCTGACTCCTCCAAGAGGATAATTTGATATTCATCGCTGGCTTCTCTTGTTTTGTCACGAAGTTGTAGGTTCCTGTTGACTCGGGCATGAGTGCAGGAGCAGCGCCCATCTGAGATGCCTAGCTTGGCTCTACCCGCACGCTCTTCCACTTGTTGAGACTGTTCCACAAGCATTTCCTCAAAGAGGGGCATGGCCATATATCCTCAGCAGAACCGAAACCGATCCTCTCCGGAGCCTCCGTATCGAACATACTAACAGGTTCCCATGGCAGACTTGGATTCAGCTCGCATCTGGGCTCGTTCGACGGCAGCAGTTTCCCTTCGAACCTTGCTAGACCTCTCACTGCAGGCTGCCTTCAGGTCTCCATTCAACTAGGATGTTCTCTCTTCATTCCCTTTCTTTGCGACGCTCGCCCTACCGCTCTAATGTGACTCCGCTCTCTTTTCCCCTGTCCGTTCCAACAATGCGGTGATTCCATAACACATCAGTCCTCACGTGGGTGGTACTTCCTAGCCCATAATGCATACACTATTATCCATGTGACAGCCTTGTTCACGTTTGCGACTTCTTCCATATCATCATCCATCTTGTGGAACGGTCTCCTCCATCTTTCAAGCACTCTTCTGAACTTCGCCACCCCTGTATCGCTTCCCTTTTTCTTTACCTCAAACATCCCTGCGTTGTCGCTCTTGCGCGTGACTGCCTCTCGCATCGAGACTTCCTCGAGCCCCTGTACTTTGGCGACTGTCTGCATCTTTGCCTGTTCTTCTTCCTCCAACATCATGGTGAATGCCTTTCGGTGCCCTCTCTTTCCTTGTCATTCCTCACTTATTCGTGTCTACAATCCCTCCTGCATAATTGCCACGTCGAATGTAGTCCACTGTCTTTAGATCCTTGCACAACCTTTAATGTGTGCCGGCCAGTCTACTCGCCGTAAATGCGGATCTACTCGCCCATCCATAGCTTCCTATGTCGAGATCTGTTGCCTTTTTAGAATGGTGCATCCAGACATATCCTCGTCCGGTGTTGGAGGATTCTAGATTTTTGGTTGCGTGCAAATTCCACGCACGGCTCTACCAACTTCCGAGAAGCTAGGGTCTGCTTCTTTGCCAGTTGCCTTCTTCCGCCCCCTCGAGGCGCATGCCAACATGCTCCATATCACAATCGCTCGAATCACCTTCTCCTTCTACAACCACCACTGTGTAGCGAAACGCATTCGCACCATGCCCCTTTTTATTGCCGCAGTTACGGAGGTTCGCTGTATGTGCCCATCTTACGACTGAGTTGGGGTCCATCTGCAATAGACGTAGGTCCTTTTCACTGCTCGATTTGACCGCACTCTTCTCGGGAAATTTCCTTTTCAAGCTCGCCTTCAGAGGATCTGACGCTTCTTTCTGACAAGACTCGGTCTCCTTTAGTTCCCGTTCACTTTCAACTTTTTGGTCTTTTGCGCAAAACGAGTCGTAAGCCGAAACTTTGATTCAGTCCTTTTGATGCCTCAATACTGAAGGGTATTCCGTCTTCATTTGCCCATAGTTTTTCCTCCTTACGCTAGGTATTGGCTTGGGCATCGGCATCAACATGTCAGGTGAGGTTGGCAACGGAGTCGTTAGATCTCTTGTAATTGAGCCGTTTGTTCATGTACGGTAGGTGGGTGTATTATGAAGGCCTGTCATACTCTACCGAAGGTACGCAGAAGCTACCGTGTAAAGCGCTAACAAGAGTTGCAGTCCAAATGGCACCCATGTACCGCTATCTTAACTCGAAGGCCTCGCACATCCTCTCACATTCACAGTAACGGCGGAATTACTGACATGCAATATGCAATATGTGCTCCGGGGCTTCCTCGACGCAGCAGATAAGCCTATCTGAATGAGGGTGAGCGATTAGGGATGTTGCTGCTATAGTACGACGAGGTGGCAAGGGCGGTTCGCAGAGGATTAGCATACATTCGAAGGATGCTAGAGTTAGTATCTTTAACCGTCTGAATCGCATCTCCTGGGATATTTCCACACTTGGTTTGTCCTTACATCCATCCATCTCTTTGCCTTCATTTCCTGCCTTTCTTGCGTCTCATCTTTCTCTTGATGTTCTTCCGACATTCATAGTCATTATTTGACTCATATTTCCGTCCTTCCTCTCTGCCTGTTTCTCAACTCTTTTTCCATCCCCCGCTCATCAATTACTGTTTTGCTTGTTTCGTGTCCGTCAGCTTCCGTTCCAAACGAGGTGTATGCCGAAGGAGGTATTCGCCCTCAAGGTGAGAGTCGCGTGGGGGTGATACGGCCTGATCAAACCTGGAGTTAGGGTATCCAAGGTCCTACACGATAGGAGTAAGGTGCACACAGGTATGTAAGCTAGTGTGTCGATCAGGCTATGTGCGTGGGACAATTTGTCGGTTAGAAAGAACAAGCCTCGAGACAGACGTGCTGAAGCCGATAGAACGTAGCTGTTGTATCAGGTTATAGTCGGAAATGGTTATGTGTCATCAGTGTAACAAATGAGAAAGGGAGGTAAACTCGAGGGATGGAGGATGGAAAAAGTCCTTCTTCAACCAAGAAAGAGCAAACAGAGATGGAAGCTTGAGAAGGGCGGAGAGTCCTTTTCAAGGGAATGCAGGGTGGCGATGAGGAGGAAGAGGAATGGAAACACTCTCTTCCCCTTAACACATCTATCGCTTGCGATACAGAAACGAGACAAAGTTTTACGACTCTGAGGAAGAAAAACGCTCTTCTCCAACAAACCGTCAGACAAGGAGTCTGCGAGAAGGAGGAAGGGGAAAAAAAAAATCAGCCCCCTCAGCAACGCCGTCCGGCGCCCTCGTAGTCTTATAGGGAATGCAGGAAGCAAAATAGGGAAAGGATGCAGTCCGCCCGCGCGCCTTCACCGGGCCTCTGAAACGGCCGGGTCAGGCCAGGTCAGCGGAGGATTGCATGCGCACGCCTCCCATCATTACCTTTATATCACCACAGCATATCACATCACATCACTCTGTTCCTTCCGAATCTGCCGCATTCTCTCGTGTTGTAGTCTGTACGGCTGGCTGGCTGAGTGAGGAGCAAACTACAGATTTCTCCGGTCCGCCGAATGCCATGTATCTATACATGAATAGGGTAATTACGTAGGTCATCTTGTGTATATATATGTGAGAGTATTGGGGAGGGGTGAATGTGTGTGTTCTGAAACATTTATGCATCTGACGTACAGTACCTTACGGATAGGCGGAATCGGGGGCCGGTAGTCCGGATGAATGGGATAGCTGCATGCATCTATGCAGTGTGTATGTGCTATGCAGAGGGTCTTGACGGCATTTCTTTTCTTTATATATTAATCTTGTCAATGATATGTTAGAGGGAGTTGCGGGCGCGGGTGCAGAAGTGGAAATGGAAATGGATTGTGGGGAATGTCTGTACAAGAATTGGAAAGAAGTCGGAGCTATCAACAAAACAACCCAATACCATGCTATACCGTTCCATGGCAAAATACAATACTACATAACTACAAATCCCGAATTCCTCTACCACCAAACCCCGTCTGTCATCTCCGTCGGGCGGCCGCGAATACGGTCTGATCTCACATCTCCACTTCCATCCTCCGGTCTCAAACACCCACCAAACGCTGCAATCCAGAACCCTTTATACATATTATGGCTCTCAGAGATTGAGGGCGTCAAAAGCCGTCGGCCATTCGAGGATAAACTCGATAATGTGGGGCAGTGAAAACTTGATGCTGTTGCGGGATAATTCTTTGCGATGAACAGGTGTTCACTCCCACGAGGCTTAGCTGAGAAGGGGAAATGCTAGTCCAGATGTTGAGTGCTGGTGGACCGGTGAGGCGACATTCCATCTAGGTAAATGAGCAAACTGGCTGGCGTGGCGTTCGAAGGATTCAAAGTGTACATACCTTCCTTGCGTGTGGAAGGCCTAAGGCTGTGCTGTGAGGCTCAGGCTTAGCCTATCGGGGCCTCGAGACACTAGACTGTAGTTCGGGCGTCCTCAAAACTCTGTCTAGAACGGGAAAAAGGCAGACAGACGAAGTAAACATGTCTCACGTTTCCTCCTCTAAGTTCAAATTTTGGAATATGAGGAATCATCAACACCAGAAACAGGTCTTAGAGTGGGTCGGTGCTGACGTTCTTCATCGTGGAGGGTGGTCTAGAAATAGGTCGACGGTGCTGACCAGAACACTGTGGCTTGGGTTGGGTGAATCCTGCAAATAGGTGTAGCGCGGAAGTAAGAAAAGGATGAAACACAGTCGGGCTTACCACCTGTCACATACCTGCTATGGAGATATGCACTGCCGGCATTCAACGGCAAAGTACAAAGCACAGGCGTCGCCGTGGAAGTGGGTAAGCACAGCAAGCAAAAGTAAACATCATATATTCATACGTAGGTGTGCGGTGCGTTCACAAACATCACATAGCAAAAGCACACAAAAGACATTTGATTCGCGCACGGGCCATGCAAATATTGCATTCTTCCAAAATACTACATTTGTAGAAAGAACGTGAACATGCGTGCATTGAAGCTGTATCCGTATTGCGACATCAGGTGCGAGCGAAGAAACTCGCCGACGTCTCTTGACCATAGAACGCAAATGGTCTACATCTTCCTCCAAACTCATACGCTTCAATGACCAGTGGCAAAAGGATCCATAGATATCCCCCCAATGAATGTATACCTAGGAAGGGGTAGGTCGTGGCAGGAACTCTCATTGAGTTAGATTCAAATAAAAAGAAAGAAAAATATCGTAAATATGGACAGAAAGAAGAATTGATATCGTGGGTATTGGAAACAATGACGACCAATTTAATGGTCAACTCAGGATTGAGTGAAGCGAGCGAAGAGCTGTGGTGTGTGATACTGGGGCTTTATGTGCGGATCAAAACACCCTGTCTTCTCGTCGTCTTGGCCTCGTACTCCATCTGCAACTCATCCTCGCTGGAGCAGTCACTCGAATCATCAGAATATCCGCATCGTACTCCGCCACAATCGAGCTTCACTCGATCACCAGATCGCGTAATGCCGTATCGTTCGCATGTGCAGCAGCTGCTTCCTGAGCTCACACTTGATGGCGACGAAGAGTTAGTAGACCGGGAGGTCAGAGAGGGTACATCAGAGTCGCTATCGCTGTAGTCGTCACTCCCGGAGAATGAGGTCGCCGAGGAAGCGGGTGAGATGGTTTGGCGTGCAAAGCGCGAAGTCAGAGCTTCAAGAGTGGCTTTGTCATATTGAGAGTTGATGACGCCGCGGGTCTGGTGAGGACGTTCGGGCCTGGGCGCGACGATGCGGGAGGGCGAAAGGCCGCGGCCCTTGGGGATCGAGGCGGTGCTGATGCGGCGTGAGTGCCGGTTCGATGACGAGTGCGAGGAAGTCTGAGCGGTGGATGTCGAGGTCTTGGCCTTCCCGGGAATGTCGAGAATGTTCAGTTTCCGGCCAGTTGTTTGTTCCGTGGTGTGGTCCTTAGCGGGGTCGTGCGAGACGTGGTAGCCATCGATGATATACTACAGTCGGTCAGTCTCAACAACATTTTCAAACCAAAAGGATTGGGATTCAGAACATACGTAGTACCAGTATCGCTGACCCTGCTTGAGTGTCGCGCCTTGAAACTTAAAGCATCCCACCCATCCGCCGCTCTTCTTTGGGTCCTTGGAAAGCGGCAATTGTCCGGCATAGTTGTCCCATGAACCAAGCAAATGGACCGTCTTGCAATTGCTGGAGGTTCGAAGCGTGAAGTTGAGTTGAATAGCTGCCATTGTGAAATAATGCGATTCCAAATTCTTCCGTCAAATTAAAACAGATATTACGATTTTACTCTTTCTTCCTTTCTCAAGGTAGAATCAGGTTCCTGAAAGGAAAGACGTGTGGAGATTGCCAATTAAAGCGTAAAGAGAGTGCGTGAGAAAGGCGAGTCTGCGTAATTGACAGGCGTTTCGTTTCGTTTAAGAAAAGTAATGGAAGGATGGTGAAAGTCGTCTTGAGCAAGAGAACTGGTATTACGTTGGAGTGTGTGGACCGGCCACAAGATTGAATTGAATTAGATGCAAAAGAACAATCTCAGTCTCTTCCGAGTACAGAGATAGTCGTATTAACGTAAAGGGTGTCGGCGGTAAGTGATGTAATTAATGGCACCAGGCCTGAAGGCGAATATCGAGTATATGGAGGGGAAAGAAGAAGAAGAAGAGAAACAAAAGGATACAAAAACACAATACACAGCTCTGAGAACTTCACACGCTTGCTGAGGAGAAGAAAGCAGAGGTGGGCGCCAGGCAGGCCTTTATTTATCGCACCTCACAGGCCAGCCCACCCACGGGAGGGGGATGGGCTTACCGACCGGCATTTTGCTCAGCTGGCACCTCGCAACCTTCGGGGCAGGTCTCGCTGCTCCCGGGTGCAGTAAATTGCTTGTGCAGCACGACTGGTCATTTTCGCAGGGTGCAGGGAGTCGGGGTGGTGGGCATGGCAGTCTATCGAAAGTCGTCCAGCGCTTGATGGCGATGGAAGAGTGGTGGAGAGGGCAGACTGTGCAGCCGGGAAGCTGTGGGGCGCGGCGTTTGCTGCGGATGATTGGCTGGGCGGAGCGGGGAATGCGCTAGCGGCTTTTTGGGGCAGCACAGACTTTCAGTGAAAACGCGCACCCAATCACACTCCGTCAGCGCCATCGTCTTGTGATGTCGCCGTGAGAGCCTGCATTTCCGCCTCTATCACACTGCAGCGCGGGAGGGAAACTAGCACGCATTGCGCATCGACTGATGAGGGAACCTTATGCGTACAGCCATGCACCCTGTCTGCATTCGTGCCATTTTGCATCAATTTCACACCTTCGCCGAGCCTGGCTCTGCTCCAACATCCAATCGCATCACTTACAAGGCAGTCATCTGGACACAAAATTGACCAGAGTGGGACTCGGCGGCTAAAAAACTGACCGGTGGCTTGACTTTGTCCAACCACTCCGACGACGTGCTGCGTGGAAACTTCTGTTGCTATCGCGAGCAGGTTTATCGGTTTCGACGGTAATGGGATTGGCTTGTTGATGTGCGGTGATCCGCAGGAGCCCACGAGGGATCGAGGATAAGGGCGTTGTGAGGGATAGATAGCCTCGCCAGATGACAGAGGCACAGCGGTTCGAGCAACCCTTCCATTTGAGAAGCTGATGCACTTTGGCGAAGCTGTGCCGCATCTGCAGAGTGGTGGTTGGGCTGGGAACGGCCTCAGGTTAACGGGAATCCCCTTCATCAGAATAACTGAGATGGCTTCACCTTTTCTACGATCCTCCCGTTACCTGTAGACCGTGACCTTTTTGTCGCGCCGTGAATCGTATCCCCCTTTCTCATGACTTGAGTCCTCCTTGGCCTATCGGGAATGTTCGTCCACGAAAGATGGTGGTTGTCGAGATTCAGCCCCCAACAGACATCCATTCAGCATGGGCCCCATCGGCGTGATCCTCCACATACGCGCCACATCTTTGGGCTTGGTTCATGCACCGTTGCTCACGGATTGCCGAATCAAGAAATGCATTGGTCACATCGTCACCAACCACACAGTTGGCCCCATCAAAGCAGCGACGCCAGTTCAGAAACGACGCCAACGGATAGATTATACCAAGACACTTCAAGCACCACCATCAACGCCAGGCAACCATTAACCACCCCCCCAAATCAAGTTTTCGTACATTCAGCTCGTGCAAGGCCTACTCGACACACATCAGATGCTGCAGCTCTTCTGGCGTCAACGTGCTCTTTCTCTTCTTCGGGCGCCCGCCAATGCGCGTCTTCATTGGTGAGTTGCGTCGTCGTTGCTTTTGCGCAGGTCCCTCTCCGGCAGACTTCGCTTCTGCTTCCGAAGTCACCGATATCAATCCTTCGGCCACTGCGGCCGCTTCCGCTTCCGCTTGAGCCACCCGGAGCTTGTCTTGCACTGTCAGTTTTGGAGATCGCTCGTCAGGGTGAGCATGTGGGCTCGATAATCGTTTCTTTACCTGCAAGTCATCGTCAATATAGAGAGCTGTTGTGGCGTCGAGAATAGAAGGGGGTGAAGAAATTGTGACTTTGCTGGCCATGTGCATGATTTGGTCGGCAATGTTATCGCAACGTACTTGGCGGGGAATGCGCGTGTCCTGACATGTTGGTCTGGAAGTTCGCGGTGCACCTTCTGAGCGAGATGGCTTCGATGACGATGTGATACCGGCCGGCTTAGTAGCGCCGACCAAGTCCACCTCGGACGCATTCGCATTCTCATCTACCAAAGAGGGTGTGTTGGGAATGGAAGGTGCGAAAGCAACCTTACGTGGGGACTTAACATTTCCGTTACCTTCTCTAAGCGCTGGTTGATCAGGCTGCAGCTTCAGCTTGAACATGTCTGAGGTAGATGTCGTTTCCGGGATGTTAGCTGCCAGTGAGGGTGGATCCTCTAGGTCGTCGGCCTCGTCGAGTTCTTCCAGGGCAGAGCTGGCTCCCTCGTCTTCCTCGGTGATTATGGAGACCTCTTCTTTGTTGACAGTTTCTAAGCCAACACCAAGCCCTAGTCCCATCCTGAGCTCCTCTAGGTTGATCGTGTCCCCCCCGTTAGCCATCCTTCTCCTCCACCCATCCATGAGCGTCAATGCATCTCTCCATCGCGCTTCCATCTTTTCCCAGCCGGCCCTCAGCCTGACAATCTCATCCTCTCGCAGTTCCACCTCCTCGATAGGTACGAAGTTAGGGTTTGTAAGGAGGGTCTTTAGATTTTCCAACACAGTATCCATGTCGGAGGCCAAAGTCTCGTAGCTTGTTGGTAGTGCGTGTAGCATGCCCTGTCTCACCTCCTCGTCCTCTTCCCCAATAGTCGAGAGTCCTTCATCGCCTTCAGGTCGTCGGCCCTCAGGCATGCCTTGTAGTTCCTTCAGGGTTACAAGCGTGCTCCTAACCAAGCCGATCAAATTGTCGTTCTCGTCGCTCAGCCCCTGGCTCAGTTGGGTCAAAAACTCGGTGGTCTCTTGCCTCAGGTTGTACTCTGGGTCGTCGACGTCTGGGTCGTCATCTCTTGCCGTGGACGTAATGCCGCTCATGCCTGTTGCACCGGGTGTTATGGTGATGCTTGCCCCAACCAAGCCGGTCTTGTTGCCACGCTGCTGACTAGTCAAGTGAGTCTTAAGTCTCTGTATCTGTACGTCGCGTTTGCGTATATCGTTCGCGCAGCCTGTCCGCACTTGTTGTACCGTCGTTTTCAGCCGAAGCATCTCTTCCCGCAGACTGCGCGCCGAAGATTCGGCGGTTCGAAGGGCAGCTCGCGCAGACCGTTCTTGAGACTGAGCAAGGGAGAGTTGGCGCGCGAGATCATCGTTGCGGGTGTGAAGCTTCTCGAGGGTGACGGTTTGGCGGGACGATTCGGTGCGTAGTGCGCGGAGGGTTGCGGCAATGGATTCGCGGTGTTCTTGGTCGCGCTGGCAGACGATATTTCAGCATCAGAGTATCTGATAATTATGAAGGGCTTTCTCTTACATCTCGCTTCAATATGAGGTCATGCACCAGGTTGATAATTTGGGCCATTGTAACTTCCTTTCCTCCCTCTCCTTTCGAAGGGCGCGCAAACTCAATTGGCTTGCCATCGCGTAGCAGGCCGCGAGCAAGTAAGAGATTGTTTATGTATGTCGAAGCCGTCCTCAAATTGAACGAATCCATCGTAGCGAACGTAGTGCTGTTGTGATGTTCTCGGTCGCGCTGGGGTTCCCAAGGTTCTGTTTATTATCTACTCAACAAGGTTTAGCGCCGTGTCACCCTAGACGACTTCACGTGTCAGTCTTAGACTCGACCCCTCCTCTATCTTCCCTCACCACATCTTAAACCTCCACAACTTCGATTTCTTCTCAAGGCAAATCATATAATATATTAATGCCTCTAGTCCAACCAACCAAATGCTAAGAGGCCATCCCAGTCACCCTTAAGAGAATCGCATGAAAATTCACGCCGTTCCAATTCATCCTGCCCTAGACTCGTAACTGCTGCGGCGTGTAGGAAATTCTTCCCGCCCAATAGCTACCTGTAATTTATCCTCCTTCGATTCGCCATTCTCGAGAACAGAACCCGCGGCGTGCTTAATTGACCGAATACTCCACTTTACTTCTATATCAGAACGACCGACCCTCTTTCCCAATCTAGACCGGCCCTTGTAATATTAACATGCCATCTATGCCCTTTCCACACGCCACATTCCTGACAATCATACACTGTTTCCGACATATAAGCATCAATTTTCATCCCTTGGTGAGATCTAAATGGGTTCCGGAGTTAGAGCATCCGAAGGACAGACTGTGCTGATTTAATTACTAATACCTAACATAGGACTGATGATTACCTAGCATGGCGTTCTTATCGTACGACGTCTACGATTTCGGGATAGGTAATGTGTTGCTTTGAAATGATGTCGTTGTTTGCTTAGTAATGTGCAGAATTGTGACATTGAGGGGGTAAGTTGCAGAAGTGTTGAGTGCTGTGGTATCTAAGAGTATATATCAACGCCAAGCCCAACATCTCCGTACTGAACTTGTCAAGATATTCACCTTAACTCATGTTAAGAAATTCGAAGACCTAAAGCCTTCCCAAATCTGCTACATCTGTTTCTCATATCCCTAATCGTCGCCCTCAACACATAATGTCCACCCAAACAGCCTTGCTCGTCACCGAAGTCGGAAAACCGGTCACGTCCACTAACACCTGGCCTATACCTCAACCTGGTCCTAAACAAATCCAGCTTCGCGTCACCGTCGCTGGACTCAACCCACACGATCACAAGAGCCGCGATGGAGGTCTCTTCATCCAAGACAGCCTCCCTGCAGTACTCGGGAACGACGTTGCTGGTGTCGTGACTGCCCTAGGACCGAATTCTTCTCGCTTCAAAGTCGGCGATAGAGTGTTCGCCCAATCTAATCTTAGCCCCAAGAGTGAGCAGAAAGGTTTGCAGCAGCAGGTTGTTGTGGATGAAGACTACGCAGCACTTGTTCCAGAAGGCTTCACCGAAGGTGATGGTGTTTCGCTCCCTACCAACATCATCGCCGGATTAGTTGGATTATTCGACGAAAGCGCACTCGGGATCCCCGCACCTTGGACAGATGCAGCGAAGACATTCGACTATCCCAACACTACGCTTCTAATCATCGGTGGAGGAAGCAACTGCGGGAAATACGCTGTGCAGCTGGCTAAAATGGTTGGAATAGGGAAGATAGTGACAGTAGGCGGAGACGAACACCAATTGAAAGGATACGGCGCAACCCACGTCCTAGGCCGTCACGGCGGACACGACATCGTCCTCCAGCGTATCAGGGCAGTCGTCGGTGACGATCTCATCTACGCCTACGATGCCATTAACCCACCAGAGGACCAGATTCTTGGTGTGAACGCGCTGTCTAATACCAAAAAAGGTAAACTTGCGCGGCTCGTCCCCTCCGGGGATATTGACGAGTCAAATATGCTACCAAAGCAAGCTGGATATGAATTAAAGAATGTGTTTGGGATCTCTCATATTCGGCCAGAGGTCTCGAAGCCGTTTTGGGAGAGACTTGGAGAGTATTTGATGCAAGGGAAGATTGAGCCGTTACCGTATGTGACGGTGAAGGGGTTGGATGCCGCAAAGGTAAATGAGGTTTTGGATGGGTATAGGGATGGAAAGCCGACCACAAAGACTCATTTCCAGATTTCTGAGTAAGCCGATGAAGGTGTAATGACGCAAAAATCTAGGTTTAACCTTTATACTCCCAAGCCGGAGGGTGGGCTGCCCAATCAACCTTGGCGTCTCATCATATTATATAAATCATTAGCCCTTCGGTCCCTCAGTCTATAATACATGACTCCTCTCATAACTAGTTCCCGTACTTATATAAGGCGACAGTCCTTGTTTCCGATATGTATGCCGTCTCGTCCTCCCTACGCTCAATTCATTTTATATCATTGCTCGAGCCCGCTGTTCCTTCTTCAAAACTCTAAACGCACAACACCTTTCCTTTTTTTTTTTCCGCATCTCTCACTCTCATCTCCAACTACGACATTGCCGTCTCTGATAGGCGTTGCTGGTATCTCTAAATTTCTAGCCTAGGGCTAATAGCACGAACAAAACCGTTACGGATCGCCGCGCCCTGTCGATCCCGCCATTCTTTTAATAAAGCTTAACGGCAACGGCCTGGTGCGGGAGCAGTCTTTTCCGTTAACCTCGGTTAAAAATGGCACTGTGTGTTTCAAGTCTTCTTTTAGATGGCGATTAGGCGTTTCCTAAAGTTAGCTGAGGTTTCCTTGTTTGCTATGACATATAAATTTAAACAGCCTTTTAATCGTTGTATCTGCTGTACTAGTATTGAGGTGTGCAGAATCTCATTTGAAATATACAAAGAGATCTGTGTTTTTAACGCAATTTCTAATTAACTCTTAAAAAATTTAACTTTCTCGAGGGATTGGACCACCGTCATGCGGTCCTTCATCTAGTATCGCATATTGCGACAACAAGTCGGAGGTAATATAGGCGACAGAAACACGTTCCGGAGAAACTTTCATCACACAATAGTGAGAGAAGCCAAAAGGATCGACCGAATGCTCAATTGCCGTTCTCGCCATTCTGTTCCTCCCTTCCACGATCGGAACAAGAAGAACATATTAGGTCAGGAGATATCGAAAAAGGAGATATCAAATAGAAGTCTTCAGGGGACGGCATATACCCAGTCAGCGAAAAAGCGCATTGTAACTTACCAAATAGCGGCACTACATCGTGCTTTTCACGTTCCCGGAAGGGTATGAGTATATCTTTAGCGAGATAAACGGCGGTGGTCTAGGGATCACGGGACTTCGCTTCTTGGGTATCGCTATCATATTGTCTAGAGCGTCCGAACTGACTCCGTTGATTGACAAGTGAGCGAAGGACGATTTGCAGATGATCCAAGAAGAAGACGGGAAGAGATTTCCACCTCAATTTCGGCTGTGGTATTGTAAGCTGGGTGGCGCCCGCAATCCTTCTCAGTCGTTTCTGGATGGGATGGTTTAGTTATGTGGGGTTTCTCTACCTTCGCCTTAGTTCATAATACCTTCGCTGATGCATGCGTTTAGACCTTTATTTCCATCTGGTCACCCCTCGCGGCTTCCGTACTTTGGTTTTGAGATCTTGTGCGTCATCATATTGTCGTCTAATGCATCCTCGATTCGTGCAAATCATATGCCACATCAGCACCAGCTTCTATCACTCTGATCAGATATGTAGCTGTGGGAGGTACGACCATCGTTGGCATGCCATTTTACGGGAATCTCGGGGTACATTGGACGCTGACAATAATGGGGGTTATTAGTGCGTTATTGGTGCCTGTGCCATTTGTGTTCTACATGTATGGAAAGGTGATTAGGTGGTGGAGTAAGTACCTATTATCCGGGATTGAAGGGTGTGAGTATGGGGAATGCTCTTGTATGTATATTTATCTTCATTTAGAACATTTCACCCAGGGAGCTAGTTTCGCGATCGAAATTCCACGAGGTATTTCAAGCCGCCATCTCTTTGGATACATACACCCAATCTTTCCCTGGCATGCAATCGTAAATCTCATGTTCTCGCGGTTTAATATATATCGGTTCTGTGATCGTAAGATAGGGCTTGTAGTAGTCCTTCTTGAACTGGACCTGCCTCATCATGAGAACATTTCTTGAATAATATACATACGGCATCCGTTTTCCTACCAACCAAAGAATTCACATAAAGTCAAACTCAGGCAACTTACATTTATCATCCACTCCCTCGTCGCCTTCCAGTTCTCCACAAACTTGAACACGCCGGGTTCTTCCGCCGACTGGTAGACCTCGAAGAACGTACATTCGGGCTCGGCAATGACGGCATCGTAAGCTGGCTTGAGAGCTTCCAAGAATTTCGTCACATTTTCAGGTGCTATCGTGATCGTCACGTGAAGAGAGAGTGTAGGGACTGTGTTAGGTGCTGCCATCTTGCTCAGGTTTAGAAGAGTAAGCAAAACGAATAGCTATTAGGACCGAGGCGGATGGAAAGGAGAACGTAGTGGATCTAACATAGGAAATCAAGCTATTTAAGAATACCCCAGATCATTCTAGGGACCAAATAACGCTAGGATGGGGCACGGATATTTAGGCATGTCAGCCATGGCAAGACACACCGCCAATATCAGGCATTCCATCTTCCCAGACGCGAATATGCGGGACAGCGGAAGGTTGTGTTCTTGGAGTAAGCAGGGAGTTGATAGAACAGAGTTGAGATCTAGACTTGCGGATGAGGTGGGAATAAGTTAGCGAAGAAGGCATGGTCCCGTGAAAAAGCTAGGTCAGAAGCGGTTAGTGTGATCAGGGTTATGGGGAGGGAAGAGGCTGACGTCATGCTTTGAAGCTCGAACAAACGTAACTCATAATTCGAGCAATTCTCTCAAGAGGTGGATGGAAAGTTGCATTCAAGACCGATAGAACGGCTGGTTTACGCCCAAATGAATGCATGGTGTTTTGGGTAAATCGCTGGGGTGTGTTGCCCTGAATGAGGCGTATCTCTTCCTAGTCCGCAATGACTCATAAAGAAAGTTCATCCTATTTCAGTTGAAAGCTGCAGATCAGTTGGGAAGGAGGGTTTTAGCACTGACTTTCAAATGTAAACCTCAGCCTTCTTCCGACCATGTGCTGAGATATTCGTCGACTTGAGTTGACCTCCCAACCGCAGTATTCCTCCAGATCCAGAGTGGTCATGCCACCTACGACAATCGAGCTCAGCCCAAGATTGCCGTCCAATCGGCTTCCATGGGCCTTCCGTATTTTCAACAGCGCTCATAACATTCCAACGAAAGCCCCGAGGGAGTGAGTCCTTCGAAGGTTACAGAATTTTCTTCAGCCCGACTTGTGGCCACTGTCACGGCATAGACGTCTTTCAAGTATTGCCCCATAGGACATTGTTCTATCGTATTACCGTAGATGTTGAAAACATCGCGAGTCGAGACGATCCACAACGTGGTGCGACATTCATGTAAACATGTTGATGGCACCGGTCGTTAGAGCAAGTATGCCTCAAAAGTCTGCCAAGACCTAGATCTTGGCTAGCCGCATAACGTGAAATTATTTCTCCTCCGGGTTGACGTTTTCGGGATCTGGCGGCGTGTAGATCCAGAGGTGAAATGTTCGGAACACCTCGATGTCCACGTCGATCCCCAGTCCGACCCTGCCGTCCTCTGTGAAACCGCCCTCCAAGGCGGAAGCGAACTAGGATAAGTGCTAGATGAGCACAGCGAGGTGAATTGAAATTCCACCCGACCTGTTAATCCACCCCGAAAGGCCAGTGGGCCAAGTGGACTGGCGACTGAGTATCCCGTGGTAGCCTCTAATTCACAGCAGAGGAAAAATCTCATCCCTATCGTAAATGGATTTCGAGAGTAAGAGTGTTAGGGGTCCAAGAGCTCCCCACCAGTGTACGCCACTTCCATTTTAAATACCATCCTGTTCCACTATACTTTACACTGGCTATCATAAAGCACTGCCAACATCTGAAAATCGTTGACACTTCGTGTCCCGCCGAGTGGCTTCTCCAAATTCTCTCCAGGCCTTTGCCGAGTCTCAGTGCCTAGAAGACCTAAATGGTTGTGTCATACGTAATGGTCCTTCTCTGCCCATACAAATCGCGATAGTCCCAAATAAGCGCTTCTCTCCTTGTACATCTCGACTGGGCCTCATACAGAAAATCTTTGGGAAGGTGGTCTTTGCCCATACCAGCGGAGATATCTTTGTGGACAGCTCCGAGTTGCATTCAGCTAGCAGTGCTGCTTCTGCGTTAAGAAATTCGTCCATAGATTTTGTACTAGACAACAGGCATTCGCTCCAATGTTCCGTAGCATAAACATGAAGGTCGTGCAATCCTTTCACGAGGCGCACGCATCTTCTCGACTCATCATACTGCTCACCAAAGACTTCAAGGCCAGATAGTAGGCAGGTTATAGTAGCTACGGCGTGTTCGGCGAGCACGTTCTGTTCTTTCAGAACGACACTGCTTGCCGATGTTTGAAGAAATCTAAAATTGTCAACACAGGCTTTGAGCTTTGATTGAAATGTTTACTACATACTGTGCTGCCTGGATGAACTTGACGACTTGTGTTGATATGACGCTCTTTCTGGACCTAGGTTTCCCTTGGAGCCAGAGGACTTGGTTGTCAGGCTTTCGCTGGAACCATGACTTCACCTTGGAATTCTTCAGAAACCATCCACATGTTCCAGGATATTTGGCACCTTCTCCTGACACTGATTCGAAGAGGAACAATTGCTCAGAATCACCTGTTTTCAACCATGACGTGATGGCCTTGTGATGCTTGGCGGTCTGTTCCTCCTCGATGCGCTTTACCCGGCTGAGCCACTCTTCCCTCTAGGCCCGAGCATCCTGCTGCATCTCACTCGCCTCAGCGGTATTACGTGCATTTGCTTCCAGCCTACATAACATCAGCGAACTTGGTGCACAGTGCACTGTGGGCTTGATCCCTACCATTCTGCCGAACAAACTTGTACACATGCTTATAGAACCCCAAGATGTCAGCATAAAAGACATCCAGCGTCGGTTGGAAGTCTGCAATGGTGGCAAAGGCTTCACTGAGGATCTCGAACCTAGCCAACGACTCTGCGCTCCTGCAATACCATTGATGAACTTCTCGAAAGGTTCGATGTACTCTGAAGCAATCCTTAATATCAGAGTTATTGGCGCTCAGATCCAGGGAAGATATAGTGTGCCATTGCATAGTGCATTGATCATGGTGGCGTAGTGTTCTAGTCCGCTAAAGAGGGGCAAGCCGGCGCATGTTACGGAGTGCCTGCCTCGCCGCAAGTTGGGTTTCGATTTCGATCGCTGATGTGTGGACATGCTGGAGAGTGGTGGAAAAAAACTGCCAGGACTCGGACGGAGTGATTATTTGCTCCAGCTGCTCGAATGCTGTTCGGATCGTCTGCCTGGCTAGCGCAGAGACGGCACGGGCTTGCTGTGAAAGGCAGGATAATTTGGAGCAAACAAGCTGGCTGCGTATTTGGCGAAATACGAACTCTTAACCCATGCTAAGCCTACCACAAACGCTCGATCAGAGTATATTCTCTCTATTCGCAGGTTTAATCTTCCTTGTCCGATGACCCCCTCCTTCAATAGGCGGCCAAACGCTAGAGATCTTCATTTTTTTCTTAAAAAATTTTTCCATATCAAATCAGCTAGCAAAGGCTCAGTTTTATCAATAACGTATCCGAAGCTCACCAAATCGAGGCACCTCCACAGTTTTTTGGAGGCATCATTGCAGACCCAATGGGGTTAGGGAAAACTTTGACCATGATAGCGCTGCTAGTAGATCTTAAGGCGCAGTCCCCGGAGACTAACTCTCGACGTTGTCGAAGCTGGCCTCAAGCAAGCGTCCCCGTCCATTCGGAGCGTACGCTTCGATAAAAAAGTACCACAAACACAACGCCAATCTGTCATTACTTCATTCATTCAAGACCCAAGCCTCCGTGTCATGCTACTGATGCTGTCTTGTGGTGCAGTTGGGTGGGTTCATATGTTGGCTTGGAAAGCTATGCGACTTACCTTTCTTAACTTGACCGTAACAGAAGCATCGCGCGCATACCTAATGGAGCCACATTGGTGTGTAAACTGTCTCCACTTTCCACTTTCCTATCTGACCCGATTATAGGAACCCTACTATTGAAGAGCAAGCTCTTGCACGTATACATCGAATTGGGCAAACGCGCCAGGTGACGACCGTTCGTTTCCACATTCGGCATTCCTTCGAAGAGGTTCGTAGTCATACTTTCCTTTCTTAGTTTCTCGTAGTTAATCCTATGGCAGGGAGTTATGGAGGTTCAGGAATCCAAGAAGAATCTTGCTAGTGTGTTGCCTTCTGGTCATGATGGCGGTCACAGTGATGATAGTCTTGGGGCAATGTAGACCCGTATCCTTCGAAGTACCCTCGTTCTACTTGTACTGATTTGAATTTAGCGACTGAGGTCATTGCTTTAACACACTTCAAGTGACAAAAGCTGCGGGTTCGAGGCATTCGCCACACGAAGTAATGGATATGGCATAAATTGATGTACCCTGTTTCCTCACAGTAAAACTACCCATTCGTAGTACGAATTAGTATTCGTAAGAGTTATTTTACTATATAGACTCCTGGTGTAAAGCAACTTATGTCTCGCCACCTGTTCCCCTCTATGGAGTGATGACCGCTAAGTCCTCGCCCGCTCTGTCGAAGGCTTTGTTGTCCTTGATGTCTGCGGGAAACCTCCAGTAGAATACCAGCATAACGATAAACATAGGAACAGAGTCGAATATATATAATGTCCATTCGTTGGTAAGGGGGTATCCGTCCTGGCCTAGGGCAAACTCAATGACACGGAATATCGATCGGAAGAAAATCAAGCCCGAGACTCCGTACAGCATGTGAAGGTACTGTTCCCATCTGACATTCGGATTGAAGGCTTGAGTTGTCGGAGCCCTCCGCATTCTCTTATGGAAGATCCCGATGGTTGCAACAAAGAGGCCAAACATGACGATCTGGATCATCAATCCTAAGATGACAATGGCTTCCGCCAATGTAGCATGACTCCCAGTTACCATCAGGCCAGCGCCACCGCCCTGAACTGCCAAAGAAAACACATCGCCAATAACAAAAGTCTTTGTGAGCCAGGGTACTCGGACGATCGAATGGCCCCAACCCCCAACGCTCGCGACTATACGTCCAAATACCATGTAGATGGAGGCTGCGAAGAAAACCGGAGCTAGCAGTGTCCCTTGGTTCTGAAGGGCGAATGGCATCAGCTTGCCAGTGCGCTTGTGTGCGGCAGCACGAGCGGCGTAACCTATGATTTCGACTATAATGTATGAGAGCTATGTCCTGGCATAAGGTGGATTGCATAACTCACAAAATCCGCCAACACCAAATGGAACACAGAACCAGGCTTTCGTCTTCCAGATGCGGTATGAATGTGCAAATGTTGCTGCCATAAAAAAAATCAAAAAGATGATGGCAGCTGCCATGGATGGAACATATTTCCAGAGGTAATAACCGCCTTTATAAGGCTCTAACTGGGCCATTGTCGTCTCGTTCCCTACTTAGGTCCTGAAGAGGAGAGCAACCTAGATATTTGGATCTGAGTGTAGGAGGGGGCGAGAATTAGAAGAATGAAAGATATCGATGAAGCATAGAACATGACTGGGATCGAAGGAGAAGAAATATACGGCCAAATCTGAGTGCCTGTCTGGAATCGCAATTCTTACCGTTTAAGGAGCTAACTTTACACGCGTCACACAGTAGGGCTGTGGGTACAAACCTGGATAGAAATGCTGCGTCCGTGCTACACTCGGACATTGCAGTGGCCTAGCTGCGGTCAAGTGTAATTGATGAACGTCGTGGGTTTTCGTTGGATTAAGGGCGCGCCAATAGGCGCAACAGAGATCCGCGGAGAGGATGAGGTGGGGCTAGGTAGCCAATAGGAAAATTGTCTTTCCGCGGGCTCATGGTGCGAGTGACGGCCCGGTAGTTGATCCGCAGCTCGAAACCAACATCATCATCAAATCATCAAATATTACACTATCTCTACCGCCAAGCCCTCTCTCCTATTGGTCCGGATATAAGCCGGCTATTAATTTAATTAGTAGAAAATTAGTAACTAAAAAGCTGCGTTACTGTTTGTTTTTAAGCTTTAAGTAATTATTCTGCTATGCTACATGCTTAATCTAGTCTTCTTTTTTTCCTATTATAATTAACTACTGCACAGTTAGGGGTGTAAAAATTACTTCTACAGTGTAATTTTTTCTGCTAAATGTAATTAGCTCTGCTAAGACCTTCTAAGCAAAGCCTGCTGCAGGCAAAAAGGGGGTTCTAGAGGATCTCCCCCTAGTTAAGCAAAACAGTAGTGCAACTTTAGGCTTTAGCTTTACATCTGCTCTAACCTGTTCTAATCTTTCCTAACTAGACATTATCTGCTTTAATACCTTTACAGCCTTAGTTAACCTTACTTTATAATAATAATAAGTTATAGTAAGCTACTATATTATAGCTATTTACAATGTACATAAGTGTATTAGGTTATTCTATGTTATCTACTAACCTCTATAAAGGATTGTAAAGGCCTTAAGATTACACCTAACATAATATTAGCTTAATATAAAACACTTTTAACTATTTCTTTTTTTTTTTAAGCTATAAAGCTATACTAATTATATTAAAATTAAGAGCATATTTGTATACTACAAACTATTACATAGGAGGTAAGGGCTTAAAGGCGTTCTATTACTTAGAATAATAAGTTTAAATAGCTTAAATTTTTCTTTATGTAAGATTTTTTTTTAGAGGTTTTTAGCCTAATTAAGTCCTTTTTTAAACTTAATAAGGACACTGTTTTAGAAAAGGTTATACTTCTAAAAACTCTAAAAAAATAAATTTATTTAGTATAGCATAGGCCTTACTGCGCCTTATTTTAATAAGTAGGATCTTAATCTACTTAAAGTTAATCTATCTTTAATCTACTTTAACTTTTTTTAATTAGTACTTTTCTTTTTTAACCTGTCCTTCTTTTTTTATTATATAGTGTTATCCTTTTATATTATTGCTATATAGACTTATTGCCTACTTTCTGCCTAGTCTGTAATAACTATAGACTCTTCTCTAACTTCCTTACTAATAAAGTTAGAGCTCTCTATTACTAGTGCAACAGACATAGCTGTGTAGTATGTTACTTTATTATAATTATTATATTCTTTAGCGCTTATATCTAGTTCTATCTAGGCGTGTTAGCTATTAGCTAATGTTAACTTTAATGTATAACCTTTAAAATGTGTTTAAGCTCACGCTACTACAGTCTAATTAGGTCTATGCTAGGGCTAACCTACACATGCTAGGCGTGACACTGCATTAAGCAGAACACTAGTGCTTAATTAATTATTTTATACATATTAATACCCTTTTAAGACTTTTACACTTTTCTTTACTCCTCCTACACTATCTGTCTAGATCTATTATAATATATAATTAACCCCTTCTAAGTCCTTTATGCTAACTTCTACTCCTCCTACGCTGTTTATATATATATATTATTATAATATATAGCTAACTTTATAAAGACTTGTTTAATTTCTACCTTTTTAACACACTTTAGATTAGCCTGCTCTATCCCTATCTATGCGTAAAGATTAAGAGCAACTAAGGGCTAGTCTCTTATAAGACAATTTGCTAAAGGCATATATTATTACTACTATAGACTATATTACTTCTATTAACTTTAGTCTAATGCAGAATTCTATAAGTAGCTATCTTAACTGTAGTGCTTTTTACTAGCCTAAGAAGTAAGTTAATAAGAGTTAGGCAGATTCTCCTTAGTACTTTATATGTTGCCTAATAAGTAATATTAACCTTCTAACCTTTCTAGATCTACCTTTATTCCTGTGTTGTCTTTTACAGGGTAGGCACTTACTTAGTAGATCCTTTTAGAAGCATTTTTAATTATATAACACAGCTTTAGCTTTTACATTAGCTAACTACAAATAAATAGATTAGAGTGTGTGTAGCATAGGCATAAAAGTTTTTTAGATTATAAGGGAGATGTACTATATGCACAGCCTATTAGAGCCTGCTAAGGGGGACATCCTCTTCTACGCATAGCTGTACTTTTACAATCCTGCCTAGGCTAACAGTGCGCGTATAGGGCATTAGGCTAATAGTAGTCTTAATCTAACTATACTTACACAGCTACTATAGATAGTTAAGACAGATTATAATAATCCTTAAATTAAAATATATAAAACTGCATATAAGCAGTTATAGCAAGCTTATAAGTAAGATAAAGAATTATAAATTACTTTTAATCTATAACTACAGTTAATTATGCAGGCTAGGGCTAATTAATGTTAAAAAAACTTGCCTGTTGCTAAAAAAATTACTGCTCTAGTCTATAACAAGCTAGTTAAGGATTATAACTAAGATTTTATTTTTTACTACTAACCTAGCTCTAATCTAAGACACTATTAGTCTCTATACTAAAAGATTAAACATACACATGCAGTATATTAGCCTCTCTACTATGTTTTAATGTTCTTATAGGGTACCCTTAGGTTTTACTATAGTTTATAGCTGCGTACTTTACGCATGTCTTACACCTAGGATACTCTAACTAATTCTAAGTATTACTAATTCTACTTATTTCTCTAGCATAGCAGTCTTATTATGCTTTTTAATTATAGTTTGTTATTCTAGTAATTTGTTGTTAACTACTAAGCTTAGTGTAAATAAAAAAAGTTATAGTAGATTATAGTAAATTAAAGACAGTTATGTGCTAATCTATATTAAAAAGTGTGTAATGCATTAGATTAAGATAACTTTTAGGCTAATTTAGTTAGAATTTAGACTATTCTTTCTTTAAGTTATATTAGCAGCAGTTGCTTTATTACGCAGTGTTATTAGAACTTTATAGCTATTATTTAAAAGCTTAGTTAACTTGCTTTGTTTATTACTTTTACTGCTAATCCTAAATAGCTAGAGTTAGAGCAGGAGATTAGTACGTCCTTTTAGCTATTAGATTAGCTAGATCTAGTCGCGCGCGTTTTTAAGCTGTGTCTTAACTCCCTCCTTGCAGACCTCTAGACTAACTATGTATTTAGCTAGTATACTAGTATTATGTATACTATTAAGTACTAGAAGTAGGGTTTACTTTATGCTTATATTCTACTTTTTTTATATTATAATTACTATAATTAGTTCCTTAATTTAAACTTTATTAATTAAGTTATATAAGCTAAGCTTCTTATAAAAGCTTAAGATTTAAATAAAGTCCTAAGTAATATTATTAAAACTACTATAGTTTATAGGCTATGTAGAACCTTAAATCCTAGCATGCCCTGTATGCAGACTACAGAGCGTTCTCTCTAAGCAACCTGTTAGAAGCAATTTCTAAAGGAATACGCTAATAAGACTTTAGTTAGTAGAGACAGTTATTCTATATATTAGCATTAACCTAGTTTAACTTAGGTTGTAAAGTGTTATAGTTAGAATGTTGTAGTTAATAATTACTAAGTAGTGCTTTACAGTCTATACCTTTTATATAAGTACAACACACATGTTAATGTAGAGGTCTGTGCCTCTATAAAGTTAGTTAAATATATACATAAGTATATCTATAAGGGCACTAATTAGGTTGTTATCTGTATCTAGTAAAAGAACAAGGTTGCCTAGTATCTAAACATGCGCTATATTAGACTAACTAAGGCTGTTTAGCAATTAATAAAGTTTAAAGTTTACAAGAAAAAGCCTTTTATTATTTAATTAGTAGTGCATTTACTAGAACAGCATATAGTTACCTTTTATAACAAGGACAGTGCTAAACAGGTAGAGATTGTAGTTAAACAGAAAAGATTATTATTAATAAGATAGTTAAAGTATAATGCCTTTTACATAAATAAGTGTAATCTTTTTTACTAAGACTTTTTAACTTAGTATTGTTAGAATCTAGGGAAAGATAGTAGTAAATAGACTTAGTTTTAATGTAATTAGTACTTTATTAGTTGCGTCTACTTCTGCAGTCCTTTCTTTAAAAAGTGTTTCTATCTTAAGATGCTTCTTATGTAAATTCTAGGTGTAATTAGTTTTAAACATTTTTACATAGTTAATAGTTAGATCTAACCTACTTTTAAAAACGCCTATTTAGCTTTTAATCTCTTAGTTAAGGATAGATTATAGTAGTATATATTTCTTAAGCTTTAGTATTTAGCACTTACTTTTAAGTTATGTTGCGTCTTCTTCTAGGCCCTAGTCTTTAGGAATGTAGGTAATTTTATAGTGTTATAAAATAAGTTCTTCTAACATCTATCTAACAACCTGCCCCTCTGCTTAGAATAAATAGTGTTGCCCCTTAGTATTACTAATCTTATAAAGGATCTATGCCTATAGCTAATTAACTAGGCTATGCTTAAGTTATTTAGAAAGAACCTTTCTAATTTTAACATGCCTATGCTATAGGAATATTAGGTGCAGGAGGCTGTTAATTTATTAGTTGCTAAGCAGCTTAATTACAACGCTGTAGAGCAGGATCTTAATTATACTAATATATATAATAAGCTAAATAAGGCCTAACTAGAAGTTTTTTATGCTATTACTTAGTCTATTCTTGCTATACTATAATTTAGTTGCTACTTTATTTAAAGCCCTAGCAGAACTAGAAAGACCTTTTTATATAAGACTATTTGCACTTATCTTTAGACCTAACATAAGATTATTTTATGTGTAGCATTGTCTAGCATTGCTGCGCTTCTTTTTTCTAGCAGCTGCACTGCTTATTATTAGTTTAAGATACTTATTAATATTAAAGACAGATCTACCTGCTTTATGTGTGCAGACTCTCCTGCTGCAGACCTTATTTGTTAGACAGATTTAATTATATAGAATAAAGTTCTAATGCAGCACTAGTACTGCTTTAAAGCAGTTAACTGTACACTATAAAATATTATAAAGAACAACTCCCTATTTAGAGGTATCCTAGTGCTGTTAGGAGAGGACTTTGCCTAGATCCTTCCTG